CATGGTCAGACTATCCATCCCATCCCTCCATAAGTCTAATATTCTTGTGAAGAATGCTGTTCCAGATTCCCCTATGTTGGACGTAATGTATGTGGAACCACCTGCTGTTAGTCAGTCTGTAATACAGTTCAGGTTATGTGAAATAAAAATAATTGAGTTCATGACTCAACTACAGCACATAACATTCTAATCTCAAAAGTGTCAAAGTTTACTGAAAGATGTTCATAAAACATCACACTTACATACGTTGTTGATGACATAAAATGATGACGTTTTTCACATCAGAAATCAGGACAATCTGCAACACTTCCTGACAGGATTACATCGTTATAAGTCTAAGGCTGTGTGGTGATGCAGTTGGTAGCACTGTCCCTGGGTGTGAGTGTGTGACTGGTTGCCTCTGTGTGGCCCTGTGACAAACTGGAAGACCTGTTCATTACCCTCTTGCCTGATAACCCCTGAAGTTCACCAACAACTCCCAGCGAGCTCACAGGGAAACAAGTGGTTGAGATAATAAGTGAGTGAGTGCCAGAAAAATTGTATAATAAGAATTTAATGTTTAAATTTGTGTTGTCATAATGTATTTTAGATTAGAATTGTTTCAACACGAAATTCACTTTTTAACTGTCCTCGTCATCGTTTACCACAGTGGTGTCCCTGGTCATCGGGGGCAGCCATCCTGCCTATGTCAGAGGTTTCTATGTTTCAACACACCTGATGTATGTGCATCTGCAGAGCTTGATGATACACTGAACAGATAAGTCAACTATTAAAACAGGTGTGTTTGAGCAGGGAAACATCTAAAACAAACATCTGAAACGATCCTGTTTAAAGATCCCTATAAATTACAATAATCTCTGGTGTGTAGAACTGCTTAAGCAGCAATAAGAACCTTCTTGTTATATTGAGTCACACAGATGGATTATTAGAAATAGTGAAGTCAAAAGTAAAAAAAAAGTAAAGCTTTATGTTTCTCCTAATTTAAATGTGCAATTTGTATGAATTCTTGTGTGAAATAATCACATAAAAGTCTAACGTCTCAAACGTGTTGGAAGGAAGGTTACATTGAAACAGATTAAAATCTCAGCCAGCTGGGGGGGGGGGGGGGGGGGGCAGTTCTCTTATCAAATAAAAAGAAAGTGGGCCTTTTTACACTCTGAGTTGGTGAGGTTGCCGAGTCTGCACCGAGCTAACGCTGCAGCACCGGCATTTGTACTGTAATTCAAAACCGGCAGGCAAAATACTCCAGAGTTGTTTAAATTCTAGCATTTGAAAAGCCTTACAGATCTAATTCACACTGTCACTTAACATTCATGGACTCACCCATCTTGATTCATGCTGTTGGTTTAGCATCTAGGAAACAGCATAGAATGTCTCGGCTAGCAGAAGCTAACCATTAGCGACACCACCACACAGCATAACACCCTCAGGCTTGTGTTATTGGTGGAGATAAAACATCAACCGTGCAAGTCAGTGGTAGAGTGGTGTTGCTGTTATCTAATCCCAGGCAAAATGTCCAAAATCAGTAAATATTGGGCTTGACACGCCAGAGGCAACAAACGACTGTAATCAGCGAAACTTTTCGCTATCACTTTGATAACCTGACACACGGGAGGCAGCGGCGGCCAGCAGCTAAAACCAGCGATGCACTCTGTTCCAGGGCGAACAGCCAGTCTTCCGTTGTTTTCAGATTGGAGGGAATGTTGGGTTATTAAAGCAGTTTAGAGTTGAAAAAACGATAGATATGAAGTCTCACAAGGTTTTGCTAGAGTTAAGTGAAGTATTACTTCTGATTTTACTATATAAAAATAAGAAAAATATGTGAATCCTGTATTACAAACATAAAAAGGAACAGTGAATATGAGACAACACCAACCACCAACTCACCAACAATTTTCCATGCCGCTGCCTTTTTGTTAAGATCTCTATTATTTAGTAGAAATGTTGTAAAGCTCCTGGAAATCCGACATGGCAAGTATTAAATTTTCCTTCACGTTTGCCCAGAGATGTACTGAGAAGCATCCTGTCCGCTCATTGGTCAGTCAATGAAACCTCCGCTGATTGGTCCTTGTCCGAGCGACAGAAACATTTCAACTTTTCATCGCTGTCGCCGGCTCGCCTGTGCATGACACATGCACAAGTGCAAAATTTCACATGCAAGTTTTTCACGTGTCGCTTAGCAGGAGGGAGACTCACGATTATCGCTTTGTCGCACATGTCACATTGAAAATGAATGGAGAAGAGGCGATGTCGCCTCCAGTGTGTCGAGCCCATAAAACTACAAATCCTGTTGTGTTGTGTCACTCTCTGCATCAGCAGATTTGTCGGTGCTGATCCAAGTGTTTCTGGGCTTTTTTGTCCCAAGTACAGGGTGCAAGGCACTCATACTAGAGACAACTGCAAATGTAATGATTAAATGAGTGAACTACACCTTTAACCCTCCCACTGTCTTCATGGGTGGCCCCACAAAGAAAGTTGACCATTGAGCAAGATGGATGGTTTATCCCTTGAGGTCCACGTGGCAGGGGTGAGGAGTGAGCACCACCTCACCCCTGCCATGTGGACCTCAAGGGATTAACCATCAATCCTGCTCAATGGTCAACTTTCTTCACAGGGTCACCCATGAAGACAGTGGGAGGGTTAAAGCACCAAAGTTAGTAAGCAGGAGTGACCCAGAAGTTATTTCTTGTACTCTTAAGAAGCCATGTTTCCTTTTGTTTTACTCTAATATTGTGCGAAGCATACTAGAAGCTAACGTTTAGCTAACAATGCTAATGGTGAATTAGAAGCTAACAATCAGCTCTAAAAATATCTCAAACTACATTTTCATTACCAGCCGTACAATATTAAAGTGAATTGTAGTTGTGAAGTGACTAATGGGGCAATTGTGGCGATTTACTTCTTTTAATGAGTATTTCAGAACTATAACAGCAAGACGACAAAAAACACTGTCACGATTCGGGGATGTTTAGGACCCAAATATGCAGATACCCAGGATGACACGAGGCAGGAGTTGAATATAAAGAAAAATCCTTTTATTTGTAGGATAAAACAAAAATAAGTCCAAGGGGCAGGAAGCCAAAAGCCAAAATCTCCAGATAATGATCTGGAGATCCAAAAACACTCAAGACTCTGGAGTACCAAAAACACTAAAAACTACAAAGCTAGACGAGGCTGACAGAATAACATCACAATGGACCGACACCAAACAGAGACAAGACAGGGCTTAAATACACAGGGAGAACAATTAAGGAAACAGGAAGCAGGTGTGTGGAGTGAGGGCTGGAGGGAAGGCAGGTGACACAAATGATCTAAATGGGGGAAACAGAACCAATAGAGGGCAGATGAACCTAAACATAAAACTAAACCGAAGACTGAGGGAAGGACTCACACATGCACATACAGACACACACAAACTCATACACACATACAATGAACTGGGGCAGGACATGCCCACACACACACTGACACAAATAAACTCACACACACTAACACACACATACACTAAGCTGGGGAACAAGAGGCTGGAGCTACAACTGGAGGGGCAGAGGATAACTAAATGAACACCGGTCCTGAGGGAATGATAAGAAGGCCTACAAACAGAAGACACATAATAGAGATGCAGACAAAGGACACATGAGGGCGCTATGAGACACAGAAGGGAATCTAGAGAGGGATGGAGAACACCAGGAGGCACATGAAGGAAGGGGCAGACGCAGACCATGACAAACACTCCCTGTATTGCTCAGAGACGAACTACCATAATAAGTGTAGTAAGTGCTCCCTACCGTAAAACACCCAAGAGTGCTAACGCCAGATATGACAATGTATTTATCTACTTACTTACTGTGTATGGCTTGTCTTTGCTTGTCATCTAGAATCTTGTGGTGCTGATCCGTAACTGACAACAGACAAGAAACTCGAGAAAGAACAATATTTTTGATTGAAAATGGGACTGCAGTAACCACATTTGACCACACGATGTCATTTTTACAAATGCAAATTTAATTAAACACCTCCATCTGCTCTTGACTCAAAGAAAAGCCCAAGTCTAAACAGTCAAAAGTTGATGCCAAAGCAGTTTCAAATGAGCTGTCGCCATCTTATTTTTGCTAAGTCACAGTAACATCCCGCCCACTAAACCAATAGTGCTGTGATTGACAAGCCTCAATACTGGTCTGGGTGGCTGACTAGATCAACATGCAGAGCAAACTCGTTTTTGCTTCTGCTACTGTCTGTCTAGATGTCTAGGCTAATCCATAGCAGAAACAGAGGTGGAGATGGCGTAGCAGCAAGAGCCATGTTGTCTTCATAAAACCTCGTTGTGATGTGTGTGATAGTTAACATGAGCAGAATAACTTGGAATGCAGTCAGCCTGTGTATTTCTCTTCTTCTTCTTCTTCTTCTTCTTCTTCTTCTTCTTCTTCTTCTTCTTCTTCTTCTTCTTCTTCTGTATTCTGACTTCTAGCAGTTACAGAACACAACAAATGGATGTGTGTGTGTGTGTGTGTGTGTGTGTGTGTGTGTGTGTGTGTGTGTGTGTGTGTGTGTGTGTGTGTGTGTGTGTGTGTGTGTGTTCTGAAATATTCCATTCGTTGGCGGCAGTTTCATTAAAAAACTCACAGTAACTTTGAGTAGAAAACGAAGAAGCTGCTAATTAATTGTTTTTAAAATGAGAATATTTTAAAGATATATCTTAAAGCGGAAGTGATCATTAACAGTTAAGATGGATAAAATGTTATAGGGAATAATAATAATAATAATAATAATAATAATAATAATAATAATAATAATAATAAACATTTCAATCCGGTGTTGGGCGCAGTAATAGGCTCCATGAATCAACTTTATCTCTGTTACAGATACGGATGTTTTTGTGATTTACTGAGAGAAGAACTTTGTGTCATTGTTGTGTTTAGATGTCCTGTCTGTGAGGAAAAGTTGAGGGCATCCTCCTCCTCCCTCAGCGTGTTGTTGCAGCTTTAAACGGTCCACAATGCCTTGCGGTGTCCCAGTTCCAGGCGGTGTACCAGCAGAAGCGCACCAGTGGAGAGCAGAGGCGCATTTTCCGCAGCTTTCTGCTCACACCACAGAGAGGACAAACACAAACTTTCCGACCGGGATTCAAACCGGCACCCCTCCGGTTTCTGAAGTCATCGGTGGTCTCCTGTAACGATTTTCTGACGCGTTTCCTTGACGCAGTTCGCTGGAAGTGATTTATCGAGCGATGGTGAAGAAGGACGCGTTTTGCGCTTTTGCCCGTGTTTTCCTCAGAAACTTCCACCCGGAGGGGACGACTGAGCTGGAGCAGGTAAGGCCTGGATCATCTGATATTTTCCGCACCCCGAGCCGCAGCTGAGCGTGCGTGAAGCCAAAATAACGGGAGCATTTCTGTAGTGGGATAGTTGTGAACCAACTACAGCCCTGCTTTAACGCCATTGCTCCAGCCTCCACACTAAACTACAGAGAGAGCGCAAATATTCTGTCCCGAATAATCACGATTCTAAAGATGTCCAGCTTGGAGGAGTAAGTTCTGACTGTTTCCCCAACAAGCCAGACGCTTTGCAGATCTTTAACTATATGTACTGCTTTGCCTTTCTTTTGTTTAATTATCATCTCTTTTTTTTTCTAAATGCAAATCATTCCCTCTCTTAAAGCCATCATCTATCCTCATTATTCTGACTCTCTTCAGTGATTTCTAAAGATTGATTTTCCATGCAGCTGCAGGATCAACTTCATGACCTCAGAGAAGTTTGTGGACTTCAGTAATGCTGCATCACACAAACGGATACTGCCTCTGTCAAATTATTTAGATGCCATAAACGCAGTAGAGAAATCCAGCTCCAGATGATGTTTTGCAAACCACAGTACCATCTGCATTGGTCAGATGCATTCATAGCCCTGCTGTTCCCTCTCTCCTGCTGCAGGAGTGTGCTGCTCCTTCAAAGCTGCCCAGTGAGCAGTGAATATGGCAAGGGAACAAAGGCGGCATTATTGCTGGCTGAATGTGCCGTCCAGATGTTGGGAGACTCAGCCAGCGCTGACCTACCAAATGGGGGAAGGCTGCTTCAGCTCCTAATAGTTTAATATCAGCCAGGCAGACTGATGGCTCAGAGGCGGGGACCTCAGACTGAGCTCAGAGGAGCTGTGGGTGTTTCTAGCGTGACTGGATGTCGGTTTAATCCCAAACACCCCGGTCTTCAGAGTGGATCAAAATCATTCTGAGAAAGCACACTATCTACTCATCCTTAGAGCTCCTCTTTGACACTTTAGGTCACAGAGGAGGGGCTTAAAAGGAGTTTTAGAGGTGACAGTGTGTCACAGTTTGGAGTTTAATGTTACCCTGGGGTGATTTTCCTAAACAGTGGTCTGTTAAAACACAGAACACGGGGTCTCAAACTAAAGGAAACCAGGTCCCAGTTCAATAAAAATTTGAGCAGAGGAAGAAGGATCTAAAATTGTAAAAAGATGCAATAAAACCAATGACAACTTGAGCTCTGAGAGAAACTTTTTCAAAGATAATAACTTCAGCAACAAACCCTAATCATTGGAGATAGACGGCACACATCAGCAATGGAATCAAAGAAAAGGAACAAATGGACAAAACAGGAACAAAACGACCACTTCAGATGATAACTTATGTATTATTGAATGAATGAATGATCAATTTATTCAGTCAGTCATCTTAAGATAATGTGTACAATAACATGTCATACAAATAGATACAAATACCATTTCTCACTAACATATACATTCATTTGTATATGGTGTCTATTTGGTATCTCATGACTGAATAGGTTTAGGCAGAAGCAATAGCTTGTATAATTGCCTAACCTGCTTACAAAACAATTTTTCAATTTCCCGCAATGAACCAACAACCCAAATAAAAATAAAACACAAATCCATCCATCAACATCAAATTAATACTCTTCAAAAATATTTTTACTGATAAGTTTTTTAAGAACTGAAAGAGAAGTTGCTAATTTTAATTCTATTTTAGCCTCATTCCAAAATTTTACTCCCATTACAGAGATACATCTCCTGAATTGAACTGAATCTGAGTTAACTGGAGGAGATGAATAAAGATCAGAAAGATTTCTAAAGCCCTAACAGAGAGATGGAAAATTTAAGATCCAGAGCAGCTGGAAGACTTACTTGTATTTATCCTTTTTAACTCCTTTCATCTGACGTAAAATATTTCTTGTAGGGTGGTTCTTTATTAGACCAGATGTACACTGTAAAATTGCTAACCCTGCAGAACCTGATGAGTATTCAAGAAAGCGGGTTAACCAGGACCTTAAAGGTGATCTATGATGACATTTTCATTTCTTGAGTCACTAAGGACACACAAAGAATATTTATAAAGTTATTTGCAGTACGTCTTGCATGAAATGATTTCGGCAGTTTTATTCTTCTAGTTTCAGTACCTTCCTGAATGAGCTGTTTCAGGGCTCACTCGGACTGCTTTTAGCTGAGAAGCTATGATGTCTGGGAGGGTCTCAGAGTAGAGCTGCTGCTCCTCCAGCAGTGGCGCTCTAGGAGGGGTGGTTTTATTCTAATTTCCCCATTTGTGACATCACAAATGTGTATTTCTTTGAAACGGGTTGTTTTGGGCACATTATTCCTAAAAACCAAACGCTGACCGAAAACGGATGGATGCTTTTTTTTTCACATTTGGAGTAGGCAGGCTGTTCACAGAGGCAGTAGAGACACTCATGGCAGCACAAAATATTGCAAAAGGTGAGTTTTACATAATTTGTCTCCTTTAAGGAAACTTTTTTTCTTGTGCCAAGGTGTAATCTTCATTCACAACTCTGGCGTTGCTGTAACATTACTACTAAGCTTGGCGGCACAACCGCATAATTCCCGCATCACCATGCCGCCACGGCGCTTTAAGACACACCGTGGCAATGCTACGTTGATTTATGAGCACGGTGTGTTGTATGAAAGCAACTTTAGTGTTTTTTCCACGAGTTACACATTTTTAAATCATCCAGACAGACCTTGCAGCAGTGGCTCACCTGTTTCAGCATGTGTTTTGTACAAAATAATCAATCTGAAGTAGAACTTGCCTGCTGGGAGGGTTAACTGAAACCTTCCATCTAATCCTGGAATAGCTCAGATCCTGCTTGAGGAAATCAGATTAGTCCACTCAGAACAAGACCAAATCCAGGACTATTTCACACCGTGACTGACTTATCAGATTCTGGTTAGTCTGCATTTAAACAGCTTTTTAAATCAACTCCTAATCTCTGACTGGGAAACTGCTCATCTCTCTGTGTAACAACTAATATGAATGAGACTGACGATTCAATGAAAATGAATGCTTCATGAAAAGCGATTGCCTATTTAATTTGCTCTGATGGTCATTTGTTTTACTCGCTGTTTAGCATCTGGGAACAGGTAGTAGATGGGTCCCTTAAGTTTCTTATCTCGTTGTCACGGCCAGTTTCTTTCTCACAGCGCAGGAATGCATCTCCTGGCTCTTATCTGTTCCTGCTCTGCCGGATCAAGGCCTCCCTCTGGTCTTTACCATCCTCTGTGATGTTTACACTTGCAGACGGCGCTGGATGAACTTTAGGCTGGCATAGTTGCAACTTGAGATTTCTCAGCCTGTTTAGACGTCAACATGTCGTGCATTAATCACAGATCATGCTGATTGTATCTGTTTATGTAGCTATTGCACCCAATTTCTTGTTTGAGGGAACTGACAAAAGGGTTTCTGCTGTTTGTTCGAACCCCGTTACCGATAGAGCCTCGACAATAAACCAGCGTCTGGCTCTTGTTGCTCACTGAGATCTCTTTCACAACAGATCTGTTGCCAATTACAGCACAGCATAAATGGCTTGTAATTACTTGCTACTCTACTGGGTGCACAGTCTGAATTAAAGTTTGGTAACTAACAGCCAGGAAGGCTTCAGCTCTAGACTGAAGTCTCTTAACAAACATCCATTTGTTTTTAATTAAGTCCAGCCTCTGACTGTTTTAGATGTCAGGAACCTTTTATTCTGGAGTGAGCTGCTGTGATTTACGCTTAATTCCTTCCAAATTGCCGCCCACATATTTTGACACTCGATTGTATGCCTGTATTGTTTTCTTTCTAGACAAACAACAGTCGCAAAAAAATAAATTAAATAAAGTGCAGAGGAACCAGAAAGTGTGTCTTTGCAGGGCAGTAAATGTGAAGCACTGACAGTTTCCTTTGAGATCATTTTTCCTCCGGCGTTTTCGTCCTATTTTACTGTAATGAACGTCTTTTTTTGTGTTTCCTGGAGGACCCCCTTGCTCAGGAAAACATGCTCGTAAATTCACCCGTTGTGCTGCAAAGGTAAATACTCGGGTATTTCTTTATGGTGTGAGATTCTGGCGGTGTCGAAACACCCTCATGAGCATATGGTCGACTGTTTACACCAGCAGCTTTTTCCCTGCCAGCTTGGTGTGCTCCTGTAGGTCTGGAGAACCGTCACGAGCAGCCGGGGAGGCAGGCTGTTCAGTTCTGCTCACAAACACACCTCAGTGCCCACAGAAGAATGCAGCTCAACGCCAGACTGAAACAAACGCAGACTCGGCAATCATCTGGACTTTGAGTTTTATGCGTAAATGTCTCATCTCATCTGAGCTTTAATAAAAACTCTCAGAAATCTAAGAGCTCATGTGTCTCAGAAAATGCCTTTTTGGCAGAAGCTGCACAGATCAGGAGGCGGTTGGGCTTCCCTCTCCAGGCCGTGGCCTTGACGGGCCAGCGAAATGGAGCTTGTAGAGCTCAGGATGGCACTCTTCCCTGCACCGCTGCGCCTGCATCATCAGTTTCTTTTTGGGTTAATGTTAATGAATACAGTACCACAGAAATGACATTTGCGTCACCCCGAGCTCTGAATAATAAACGGATGTGTGTAAGCCTCTTCTGCTTTAGAGTCGTTTGTATTAAAGTGTTGCTGTGGTTGGTGCATTTCATCACCCCTGGCTTGGATGGCGTTCGTGGTTTCACCATCACTTTGGAAAAAACGTTTAGCAACTTAAGTTTTTAGGTTCACGGCACACATGCACACATAGAAAATTCTGCGTATTCTTTCTTGTCTGACCATTTTCCTGTTTCCATTCCATCGTTCGGAGCTTTATGGCCATTTAAGGGCAGTCTGAAAGAGGGATAAAAGCACTTTCTAACCAGCTGTGAGAGAGCCAAGAATAGAGTGAGCAGGCGACGGACAAAGGTGACGCTTTTCTACCTGGAAATGCTCAACAGTAACCATTTAGCCACTGGGTGAACAAAAGTCAGAATGAAAATGTCCATGGTTTGGGCTGGTTCGATTGTTGAATTTAATCTATTATAATGCAAGACACTTGTAGAAAGGTCATTAAAAATGTCCTTCTACAAATTAATTCAGCCATTCTGTCTTTTCCTGCTTTTCTGTTTAATGTTTTGAACAGATTTGGAGGGGTTGTTGGTTGGGGGAAGGACAAACTTGTGTGGATGACTTTGTAAACGTGGACTGGCAATACCTGAACTGGGGGAGGTGTAATTTCTGGAGGTGGACGAACAAAAGGACCTTTTGACACAGCAGTGAAGGTTAGATCCACGGAGAGGGCGATACTGATCGGTCATTTATTCTGTCCCTGTCGACCGTCCTTGAGAGACACTTAAAGGATCCAGTCATCTAAATGAGTATTTCATTTTTTTAATCCTTTCATTCTTTTTCTTTATAGATTTCTTTTTTTATGTTTAATTTTAATCAACAATTAAAGCTGCTATAGCCAAACTGCAAAATAGCTAGGTTTTGAATGCAACTTCAGTCACAGAACATTCTATTGGGCATCTTCTCTGCTTCTGTGTGCAACAGAACCAGGAACCCGCATTGCTAGAAGAAACGAGAGAGCGCTAAACACCAAATGCCATTTTCTACGTCCAAACGTCTTTTGTTGCCCGTGACTTCACATGGTGTTTTTCTTTTTGGGACTCTGGTAGTTTGTCCTAAAGTTGAAGTGGTAGCAGCCGGCTGTTTCTCCTTCTTTGATATTGAGCTGCAAACCTCTCACACCAGTGGTGTTCTGCTGCTAAACACGAGTGCGTAATGAGTTGAGGACCCAGGGAACTGCGGCGGTTCAGCTGGACCGACAACCGGATGGTCCAATAGTTGTTGTTTACAGTTCAAAACATGTTGGTGACAGTGTTCTGGCAAAACGTCCTACCCATAGGATAATTTTACGGTGTTTTACATGACACAAACCCCAAAAATCAAGTATCAACGTCAATAAAAAGTACTAATACTTACTACTTACCTATTTTTCTGCAAATATGACAACAGAGTAGCATTCCCTTTTTGTGTTGTGCGCATGCGCGCACATGCTCAGGAACAACGGGTAGGATGGTTTACGGAGTAGGAGAAATTCCCAGAACAACGGTTTTTAGAAAAATGCGACAGAACCACTTCATTATTTTTTTGTTTTAATCTCCACAATATATTTATAACTAGACTATGTTACAATATTGTTAAGAGGCATGAAAATAAAGTTTAAAGGTTGGACGTTGTAGTGATTTGAACAGTCCGCTTGGCACAGCTAGGCTGGCGCTGTGGAAGAGGGCGTCAAGCAGCTGCTCCTGAGCCCAGAAGATGTATGAACATCAAAAACTGTTATAAACTAAACTTATTAGTAGAAATTAGTCCTTACCCTGTATGATTCCTCACTGGACACGGTGCTGGCTGGTCGGTAAGTCCTTATAAAGACGGGCTTAAAAGGCTTTCTCATAACCAACCCGCCTCCCTGCTTGACACTCAGCTTTAAGAGGTTGGATTGGGGGTTAAACCACCAAATAGTTATCAAGCGCAGCCACAGCTGCAGCTCACCACTCCCCACAAGAATGGGTCAAATGCAGAGATGTAATTTCACCAGTGTGTGATGATGACTAATAGGACTTTACCTTAACTTTAAAAAATGTTTTTTTTAAATCTCTTTTGTTTTTCTAATATATTTAATAAACCTCTAAAACCTGATGAATGGCTCGGGACGACTTTACCAAATTCAATATGGCTGCCACAGCTCATTGACACCTATCACAGAACTGCATGGCTCCATCTTTATCACGTTTGCAGGTATTCAGCTAAAATTTGTCTTGGTAGCAGCTGAGAGTCTTTCACAACTCATAATTTGAGTGCAGATGAATTATGCAGGATAATATGAAATTACATGCATCTTATTTGACTATAACTTACTATAATGCCCTCATTCTGCAAAAGAAGATAATCTCAGTTGAAGCTTGGTCCAAATGTTTTAGTTTATTTTCTTTGTGTTTCGTTGTTTTGGTCTTACAGTGTTGGGAATTTTCCAGCTATTTGCATTTTTATTCCTCACATGTTTCTGTCCTTTGACTGTAACTGAGTTAATCCTTCTGTCATCACTGCTTGCATCTAATTCTCTGTACAAAAGCAGGAACTGGGCCGGGGACGTCTGCCGGCAGATTCTTCCTGCAGCTCCAGCGGTCATGCACTTTTCTTTTTTGAAGGGGGAATAAAACATCAGTTTAACATTCCGGAGTCTGATCTGTGTTTACGTTCATACTCCCACCTGTGACTTATGTTTCTGTGCACTCTTTGTTTCTAATGAATTAACTGCCAGTGTTAACGAGCATAGCGGCCTTGTAACTTTGGCCTTGATTACATCCTGTCTAACCGTTTCCTGTTTTCCCCTGTGTTTCCTCTGCAGTGAATTAGCCAGAGGGCTGGGTTTTTCTGCTAACCTGCATCATTCCACCCTTGAATAATGTTGGGGCCGACGCACCATAACTGGCCTCCTCTCTTCTGACCCAAAATGGAACTCAAGGTCTGGGTGGATGGCATCCAGAGGGTTGTGTGTGGGGTTACGGAGGCAACCACGTGCCAGGAGGTGGTGATTGCTTTGGCCCAGGCTATAGGTAAATATTCCTGTTTTTAATAGCTACTAAAAAGCACACCTGAGACACAACCTGCCCTCTTAACTTTTAAATTAGTTATTTACCTTTTTGAAACACTATTTTCTGACGTTCTAATCAAACATGTGGAACATACTCTAGTAGTGTCGCTATTTAGTCGCAGTCCAGCAAGGTTAAACAACTTATTTGGGCTCAATAGTCTTTATAAAGAGCGTGTTTGCTGTGTGACGGATCTCTCTCACACACACACACACACACACACACACACACACACACACACACACACACACACACACACACAGGCTGAGAGCACACCTGGGTGTTAGTTGATGTTTTTGGTAGCTGTGACTCAGGAGGAAGAGCTATCATCAGGAAAATGGAAGGTTGGTTCAACTGCAACCTCAATTTTAGTCCAAGTGTCCTTGGGTAAGATGACTAATCTCACAATGCTCAAAAATCACGCGTATGTGTGTGTGTGTGTGGGGGGGGGGGGGGGGGGGGGGGGGGATTAATGAATGTTGCCTGTATTTAGAAAGGGCTTTGAGTGATAACCAAGGCCATAATAGTGAGAAAATGATTAACTTTATTTATTTATTTATTATATATAATTTCATTAAATTGCTTCAATTCAGTTTATTTATATAGTCCCAATTCACCACAAGAGCCGTCTCAGGGCACAAATGAAAGGTTCTAATTGAACAAACCCATTGAGTTCATTAAAAGTTTTCTGTGTAAGGAAACCCAGCACATTCCTAGTTATGAGATTTTTTTTAGGTCAATAACAAAGCAAAAAAGCAAAGTTGATCACAAATCTGCTTTAAGGTAACGATCCTAACATGATTTGAAGCTAAAGTTGAAGCAGACTACACTCACCAGACCGTTGGGTACTAGGGGGTGTACTGGTAAGAATCTAGCGATACGATAAATATCACAACACAGGAAAGACCGCACGATATATTTTAATACTAAAAGTCAGACGCTGTTTGCAGCTTCAAAAATTTTAATCAGATGCTTCCAAGACACACTGGGTGTTACCGTAAGATCTGGTGAACTTCTGCCACCTAGCAGCATAGGTTTGAATTGCACCTCACTAAAGGAATACATTAAATGTTTGTATGTAAATTCTCAAAAAATATCAACACACAGCTTTTGAATATTGATTCAGTATCATAACATGAAATCGTATTATTATACGTATGGATATTTTCTTACAGACTGCACAGTGGTTAGCATTGCTGCCTTGCAGCAAGAAGGTCCTGGGTTCACATCTCGGGCTGGGGTCTCTCTGCATGGAGTTTGCATGTTCTCCCTTTGCACGCTCAGAGTACTCTGGCTTCCACCTGCATTCCAAAAACGTGATTGTCAGGTTAATTGATCTTAGTTAATTGTGTGTGCATGGTTGCTTGTCTTGTGTGTCTCTGTGTTGCCCTGCGATGGACTGGCAACCTGTCCAAGGTGTACCCTGCTTGTATGCCTGTAGACTGCTGGAGATCGGCACCAGCGACCATGCAAGTACAGTTGACGGCTGGATGGACATTTTCTTACATCGCTATTGGATACACCTTGCTAGTTCTGGGTTTGACCCCTTTTTTCCTTCAGAATCATCTTAATTATTTGTCTCAGATTCATTACGGGGTTGGAAACCAACCACAGCTGTCGTGTGATTGGCTGTGAAGGTGTTAAACAACTGAACTATTCTATAACCAGTTGTAAATCTGAGCTTCTTCCTGAATGCCAACTCCAAATAAGCATATGTGTGTGAGTGTGTGCACGCACTCGTGTGTGTTTGTTGCCTCAGTTATGAAAAGTAAATGTTTTGTGATGTTAAGCTCCGTGTTGGAAACCTGGTAAATATTAAATGCTGTGTGCCTGGAACCCGTTAGCTTCTGACTGATGTCTGCTCATGAATCCCTTTGATGTCTGCTGAACTTAAGCTCTAATACCAGAACATTTCCTGCAGCGTGTTTCTGACCCAAATATTAGACTCGGCAGTGCTGCTAAAAGCAGGAAAAGGTTGCAGCTTCTGTTTGGAGCCCGTTTGTCGATCATAGGAGTAGAACTCCCATCTGTGGAATTTCATGTGATCATATGACTCTGATTTGTACATCACACCACAAACCACCAGTTTCGTCGGCTGCTCATCCACGCGTTCATCAGCCCACAGCTCTAATGGGAGTTGAAACCCTTTTTAAAATGCCAAACTGTTGTTTTTAAACAGAAAGGAGGTCCTGATGAAGTAAACAACCGTCATCTCCTCTGCCTACACTTTAAGCTCCTGCTGCGCGTTGGGTCATCATCAGTGGCTATATTGGGGCTTTCTTGGATGCAAACACCCCGTTTTCCCATATGGCAGCTTTAGGAATGGGCCACTTCAACATAATGTATTGACATCACTTCCCACTAAGAGCAGGGGAGGAGGAAGGAAAGTCTGACTCATCCCTGGGTCGACTGCCAAACTGTGAAAGCAGCACTTCTCTCCGAGCCCCCTCCTCTGTCTCTCTGATATTTAACACATCTACACCATCTTAAGTGATCCGACATCAATATTGATTTTACATTTTGACATTTAAGAGGTGTTTCTGTCTAGATGCTTCTGATTTTTGTTTCGTAGCAAGAATAGATGTATTTATTTTGGCTGAAACGTGGCAGCGTCGCTGAAAGGCCTTTTTTCTAACTGTGCTGTAATACATCCGCCTTTTTTTTTTCTTTTCTTTTTTGCAGGAAATTTACCCTTGAACGTTTCATCTAGCAAAAACAATGACTTGGGAAATTTTGTAATAGAGAAAATATGGTTTTCTTTTTTTTTCATCTCGTGACCTAAAATTTCCTAAAATTTATTATCACCAACATTGATTTTTATTGATTTTTGGGTTTTTTATTTAATGTGTTTGTCTGCAGGTCGTACAGGGAGGTACACTCTGGTGGAGAAATGGCGGGACACCGAGCGCCACCTAGCCCCGCACGAGAGCCCCGTGGCTTCTCTGAACACCTGGGGTCAGTACGCGGGAGACGTTCAGTTGATCCTGCTTCGCACTGGCCCCTCCCTGACTGAGCGCCCTCCATCAGAAGGGCCCCCGCTCAGGGGTCCAGAACGTGGGCTGCATCGTCAAAGTCTCCCTCCGCTCGCAAAGCTACGCCACCCCAACGACGGCTCGCTCCACCGCCGTGAGCCACGGCGCAAGTCGCTCACTTTCACAGGCGCGCCTAGAAGTCTAAAGGAGATCCTGGGTGGGGGCAGTGTCAGTGAGGCCGAAGGCAAGAGAAGATTTCTCCTGGGAAGTGGCGGGAATCACCACCATGTAGGACCAGCCACTGGGACGGCTTCACCTGGTCTGTGGGCCTGTCGCATGGAAGATCTGGTTCGATTGGTCAGCCTGCAGAGAGAGACTCTGAACATGCTGGAGAAGAAGCTGGAGGCCTATGAGGCTGAGCTCCAAGCCTGGGGAGGTGGAAGTAGGGTCCAGAGAGGTGGGTTTGCTGTGGATCTGAATGGAGGTGGAGGGTTGATGGAGGAAATCTTGAGGTTGGAGAAGCACCTAAGGAAGAATGAGGTGGAGATGGAGGAGGAAGAGTTCTGGGCCACCGAGCTGCAGATTGAAATAGAAAGTGAGAGACAGCTGGAGGAAAGGTTGCAGGAGCTCCGAGGACGCCTGCAGAGCTGCGAGCGGGACATTGAGGAAAAGTTGGCAATAGTTCAGGTGGGCAATTGGGGGAATTTTCCCTGCATTACAGAAAAATGAAGAGTTTCTTCATCTATCTTGTAATGTTGATTTAACTTATTGAATTTCCACAGTTTTTTCACGCTCAGCTTATCGTTTATTTTCCACATCAGGGAGTGGAAGCAGGCCTGGAGGAGGAGAAGCTGCAAAGAGAGCGTCGAGAGAACCAGTGGGTCAACGAGGCAGAGGCTCGGGCGCAGCTCCTCAGGGTCAAGGCAGAGCTGAAGGCCCAGGAGAGGCAGGCCATCCAGCTGGAGAGCAGCTGCAGGGCTGTGGACAGGTCGCTGGGTCAAAGCAGTAAGAAACTGCAGGTGAGCTGAGCGATCTGCTCAGGCGTTTATGCTGAGTCATCACTAACGCTGGTTCTGAACAGATGTTTATCTGAGTGTTTTACACATAACAGCTGCTTGACTTTTAGAATACACACAGTTCTCAAATAAAAACAGCTTCTTTTTTTTTTGGCTTTTACTGTCCAGTATTTTGGTAGCTAGTCTCTAAATTTGAGCCAGATGCATTACATAACACACAATTTTGCCTGGAAGTGTTGTTTAGGCATTTTTCTACCAGCTGCATATACAAATAACACCAAAGATGAGATTTGACAGGTTATTTATTTCCTGTAAATGAAGTTGTTGCTGCTAAAATACTATTTTATTTGTGCCAGTGTGGTGTTTTTCATAGTACACTAAACAAATGGGAACAAATGGACATTTTTACTGGCTGCTGGTAACAAAATGTCTAAAAAGTACATTCAGTTTTTTTCTGTTGTGATCAGAAAATCATATGAACTTATCAGGATTACTTTAGAGCGTTGTAAGATAGCTCCTCCCCTTGTAAGCTAAGTTTATGAGCAAGAATAGTTGCATAAATTCCCTCCATGGGGCCCCAGAACACAAAGTAAATAACATGCATGTGAACACTAAAACCTTCCTAAAGTACGCCCTACTTCCCACCTGATTAGACTGGCGTTGCATGATTGAAGTTTTTTTGGAGGGATGGGAGCTCAGACCGCTCAGACTAGGCTGCTTGTTCTGATTCACGGATCTGCTGTTTGGATGAAGGACATGCAGCAAGAGCTGGAGCAGCTGACCAAGGAGCTGAGGCAAGTCAACCTGCAGCAGTTCATCAAGCAGACCGGTACCAAGGTCACGGTGCTGCCGGCTGAACCTGCCGAGGAAGACGGCACCAGCAGCAGTCATGGTATGAAGCAGAAAAGTCAGCTGATTTCTACCTCTCCGTGTTGGAGTCCAGGCGGATGAATCTTAAACGTGTCTGTGAATGTGTGAAATCAAAGTTGAGGTCTTCACTCCCTGCGTTAGTGCAGCCGTGCTCATTGTTCTGTGGCCTCGTTTCTCAGCAGCCTGCTGAGAGTAAACAACTCCGTTTGGAGCTCAAAGTGTCCGTCTGAGCCTCTGTGAAAGGAGGATAGAATGGCAGTAATGAAAAGCGCATGCAGCGCAGGTCTTTCTGCTGCTCTCTGTGCCAGTTCCACCTCCACGCCTGCAGCAGCCTGGGTACAGCGTCTTCGGTACAGCGTCTTCACCTTCACTCTTTTTCTTTATCTTCCTTCTTCCCTCCACCCTCGACGCGCTGTGATGGCCTCCGCTAACCGTGGCTCTGTTGTTCCGGAACACACCACTGACTTCACACACGTGATAAGAAAACTGTTGAAAAGCTCACACAGATAAGAGCCAGGTGGTTCTAAAACCTTCACGACAATCTTAGAAAAGATGCTTACTGAAACGTTTGAAAGAGAAAAAATACGATTTAATGTAAGTCTAATGCGGTGATGATTTATGACCTTTTTCATTTTAATCAAAATGGATAAATCTCGACTTTAAGGTCTCTGTAGCTATTTTTGCTTTACATTTTTGTAGCATCAAATAACTCATCGTAGCAGTTTCCAATAATGTGAAGTTATAACTGCATAATTAGCCTTTAGTAACCTTCTAATACAGGTGTGGAAATGGAGGCCATTGTGCCAAGCCAGTAAATTCCCTGCATTGCCTTTTTTTTTCTTCTGTTCTTTCCTTTGCAAAGCTCAGTTTTGCCCCCTGGTGGCTCCACCTGAGAAGTACATCACAAAGCAGAATTTTTGTGTTTCGTTATAAATTGCAAGAATTATCCAAGGATTTAGTTCCTACTGGAAAATTTGCAGCCCTGTTGCATGAAGACGTTTGGTAACATGTTTCAACAAGGGTTGTTACTCAGAGCATCATTAAGCAAAGGTTCCTTTATTAATGTCACTGTTGTTAAATATTAAGTGTTCTTAAGGTTAGAACAAAGGGCCACGGGGGTTCTATTAGTAATTCATTACATAATATGGTGAAGCAGTTGTTAATACTTTAGTATTATTTAATAATGCACTAAGTACCGTTAATAGAAGGACCCTTATTGTAAAGTGTTACCAGACATTTTAAGATATAAATCTTTTTATTTTGAGAAAAACATAAAAACTCTAATTATGAATCTATTAATATTTGATAAATATTGATGTAAATAATTTTATAAATCTAAAAAAATATGTTTGACTGTTTTTACAATTTTATAAAACTATAAATGAATGAAAATACAACAAAGATCAAACAGTTTTAGATTTAAAATGATTATGATTATTGTTGTTGTTGTTAATAATAATAATAATGATAATGAAGATGTTGTTGAAAATGCTGTCTCCAGATCCTAATAAAGGAGATTAAATTTAATTTTTACTCTCACCATCAGATTTAGTTCAGCTGACCGGATCGTTGAAGCGTCCCGGCTCATCCCACCAGATGTCCAGTCCTCTCCGTGTCCTCCACAGCCCTCTCAGCTCTGGTCTGAACCCGGAGGGGATCTATGTTTGACCCCAAGGCGTGTGAGTCAACAAGTGGAGGGCGCCTCAGCCGTAACTGACTATGCATACTTTAGTTTTTGTACCTGAAGGCAAGTCTGAAGACACGGACTGATCTGAATGGATGTTACTGGTGAGGATTAACCGAAAAGATAGAACTCCATCAACATGTCGACTTGATACATTCTCACTTTAGTACCTGCTGAATGATTTGTATTGTTCTCTCTTTAGCATCTTGATTACAAACCTGCCTTTTAGACACTATTCTTAAGATTCTCGGAATATGTGTGTGTCTGCATTATTGCTCCAGTGCAATGACTGGCTCTTATGTAAGTGAAGGATCCACTCGTGTCTGTAGTAGAACTGTGAACAATCTGTCCCCGTGCACCGTCTGTTCAAGTTTAAACTATGCACAAATACTTAATATTTTTGTTACTGAAGAATGTTTGTTTGTATTTGCCAAAACGGTGGCTCATTGTAAAAGTTTCTTACTTTCTAGCTTTACTTGGGTAGTTTATTTTATTACCAAAATGCAGTGGGTCATTCCTACAGTAACGATTGCAGTCAGTGTTACTTAGCTAAGTTTTGTTGAGTATAAAGTATATATTTTTTGAATGCATTAAGTTTTTTGTTCCCTGATGATCATGTGGCCAAAGATTTGCAGGTCTTGTTGCATGATTGTTTTGGCCATAAATGAATGTGCAGAGTCCTCGCGGTTCAGTGAATCTGTTAGGTGAGCGGCAAGCGGTGGCATGTAATCGTAAAACAGTGTGAGCTAGCGTGAGTTGGTGATTAAAATGACCTGTGTGCATTCATCAGCATGCATGCAGCCCGAATAGTAAATATTTGCAGCACTTCTTAGACTGTAGATAATCAACCAGTGTGTATGTCGTGTTATGAAGTGTGTGAGTCAGAATAGCCAAGTTATGAAGCTTAGGTTGTAGTTCAGCTGCTATGAACACATCAAAGTGCCTTATATTCATGCAACAAATGGTGCATTCAAGTGCTGCACAGTCTAAGTTTAGCACGAACATGAAGGATTACAGTTTAGAGCACAACATCAGTGTTTTAATGCCAAACTGCAACAAGTAAGCATGACAACAGGAAGCTACTTTTTTCTGTCAGTGTTTTGTAGAAATGCCAGAGTGAGGAGAAACTTCTAGATCTCTGAACTTTGCTACTGTAATTTTACACAGAATACTGTAAAAAGTACTAACACTTTAGTAAATTGTACTTTTTTCCTCTTCTTCATGCAACACTTGTGAACTGTAAATCAAATCAGAGCTGTCAGATAATTGTTGTCACTGTTTACATCTTCATATCCTAGTAAACAAGATGTCAACTTTAAGTAACCTGTTGTTTTTCTTGCCTTAATATATTGCAAAATGTTGATTGATGTGTGTGTGTGTTTGTGTGTGTTTGGTTGTAACGGGCTGATATGATGTGGATTGCATGGTTCAATAAACCATCAGATAAATTCAGATGTCTTGTGATTGCTTGTTGAGAATTAGTGTTACATCTGCAGTTAAACTGTTGCACCAGCAGAGGGAGACATTTTCACAGAAATGAAAGGGAAAGGCGTCTGTAGACCTGGGGCATCCTATAGAAGAAATGCTAGTGGCATTTTTCCACTTTAATTTTTAAATAATTACTCATTTTTCCTGCAGTGATGATTGACACTTATAAGAATATTTGAGAAGTTCCGGGGGGGTTATTTTTGCCACACTTTTTTTTTTTTGTAATTTTGCAATTTTAAACAGGAGAGCTCCATTAAATGACTCAAACATATAGACTTGGTCATTTATTTACAAAGAAAAGTCTTCCAAATTTGCATGTATGCATACCATTTTAACAACTTCCTAACCTTTGTTCCAAACTGCTTTAAGTGATTTAATTTTTTCAGGATGCTTTCATTTTCTCTTAAAATTTTTGACTAAACAAGACTGGTTGTTAATTTGTAGTTTTCTAGGGATTTTATTTTACATTTGGCTGCAGGACCAACAGAATGCACGGTGGTGTTGTGGTTATTCCTGTTGACTGGCAGCAAAAAGGTCAAACGTTTGAGTCTCGACATCCCTTTCTGTGTGGAGTTTGCACATTCTCTCTCTTGCATGTGTGGCTTTTCTCCAGGTCTGAATCATGTCTGCTAGCTTGAATGGAGAATCGGTTGCACCGATGACCTGTCCAGGGCCCGTTATCTCATACCTGTTCACCTCAGATGTAGTCAGGCCCTTCTCAGCCCAGTTAATTGATGACATAAAACCAGTGAAGGTGAGTATGATCAAAGATTCAAAATCAGGCCCAAACCATAATGCCGCTAGTGCCGTGTTTCTTTGTTTGTGTTGTTTTTTGTTTTCTTGCTTCTTCCTTTACTTGTTTTCCCACATAAAGCCCTGTTGTTTGTGTTCTTTCAGACAGACACCAATATTCTGTCCCAGAATGCAAAATGTTTTTCTGTGAAACTTCACAATTGCGCCCTTGTTTCTCAATGTTCTCCTAATAATCAGCCAATAAACATCGATGTTAACCAATTTGAGGATGCCCTTTGGCTAATTAAACGTTTGCTTGGGTCTTTTCATCCTTGGTACTCATTTACTGTAGATTATAGAAAACAAACTTTCTAAACATTGTTTACTGAATTTTTTTTTGTCCAACCCAAAAAAAATATAAATTTTATTTCCCCCAACGTACTTTAAGATCTGCTCAGACTTCTTAAAGTTTGTGTTTTGATGTTTTAGACGATCAAACCACACATCAACATACAACAACCTAATTCCATCCTAACGATAAAATTAACCTTTTAACTAAACCCTTTCACTCAGTAAACAGTTGACTATGTTTATTTTTACTGACTATGCAACCTGCGGCTCTGGAGCCACTTGTAGCTTTTCAGCCTTTCAGAAGAGGCTCCTTGTATCTTTGACCAGATTTCATGATCCTACACAATGTTTATTTACCCTGAAGGGTACTTTTGGCAGTTTTTACGCTCAAACTTTTGCAGTAAAAATATGAAATTTCACAGCAGCAACATGCCAACACTACAAAAAAAGAAATAGCATGAGATTTAGGTTCAGATCAGTTTTGCTGTGATGCCAACAGCTTGTTGGCTTGCTGACATACAACAGGATTTCTCTCCAATTTCATCAAATAATTGAGTTTATTCATACTTCAGCAAGAATCGTGCAAAAGTGAGTCGTTTTCACCAGATTACAAAAACTAAAAGCAATAAAAATAAATGAAATACGATGAGAGCAAGCCTGGAATAAAAGTTTGTATTTGAGGACATTTAGATCATAAATAACCAATAACTGGATGTATTATTTATGTTTGCTTTAGTTAATGCTTCATTAAATAGGCAACCTATTCTACTTTTTCTTGTTGATTCTTCTCTTTTTAAACAGCACATTTAGAAAAGAAGGAGCTGTCAAGTTTTTATTGCATTTATTTTAATTTTAAATGATGATTGTGTGTCCTTGTGCACATTATATCATGAGATATGATTCAAATGTTTTTTTCAGTCACATTTAATGTTTCAGAACTAACTTTTAAGTTTATGTTTATGTTTATTCATTTCGCAGATGCTTTTATCCAAAGCGACGTACAAGTTTTTTTTTTCCTTTTTTTTTTTATAACCTGTAGGGCATGTTGTGATGTGTGGGGGAAACCGGAGTACCCGGAGGAAACCCACGCATGCATGGGGAGAACACGCAGCTCCACGCAGAAAGGCGAGTTTTGAACCTGCGACCTTCGTGCTGCGAGGAAACAGTGCTAACCACTGCACCACCATGCAGCCCATTTTTAAGTACCTCTGTGGTCATATAAACCCCAGAAAAGTTGAAATTTTTGATCATTTCATGCAGCTAAAGGTTTGCTGGCGTGAACTCCCTATGGGACTAGATTTGGGCCAATAATTTCAAGAAAAACTCTTAGAAGGTCAAACAAAAATTAAGAATGTGCGTGAAAAAAAATTAATTGCAAAAAAAAAAAATCGTTTCAAAAGTGAAACTTACTATACGAATCAACTTATTAAAATGAGTAATAAAAGTATTTGTATTTATTATGTTTGACTCCACGTATTTTTCTTTTCATTTTCCTTTGTTTCATTCTCACTGCTCAGATTTTTGCTCTCGCTACCAGATTTGCAGTTTCACTTCTCGGCTTTCTCCTTTGCGCTGCGTGAGGTTTTGATTGCAATTCTGGCCCAACCCTCTCGGGTGGGTGGGACATAAGAGAAGTGCTCTCCCATTGGACAGTGTGATCCTGAATGACAGTTTGTGACCCGGAACCAGAAGTGACGCTGTCCCGCGATTTTACTTGTTCCTCACGGGTCTTAGCGCCACCCACGTTCATATTTCCCCTGTGTACTGTGGATCAAAGTGAGTATTGATCGTTTATTTGATATTTTCTTGGAAACCCTGAGTTAAAACCCTTAAGTAAAGCCAAGTCAGGCATTAACCAGACGTTAGATCGCTAGCTACCTAGCCAAAGTGCTAGCCAGTACCCGAATGCTTTAGCAGGGCTTTGGTTGGTTTTTTTTTTTTTTTTTTTTTTTTTTTTTTTTTTTTTTTTTTTTTTTTAATTCTTTATTTAGGATATTGGTTCGTTAACAATACAGTCCAATATACATAAATGACTCAATATCCACTATGAAGTACATGGAAACAGTATAAACATAACAAAAACATACCAACAGATTCAACGCCAGGGGTTACTGCATACAAATTATGAAACATGAGAATGATGATCGAAACAGGAAACAATACGAGACATGCAACAGAGTACGAATTATGGAAAGATTTTAAATTTCGAGCAGAGACTTAGTGTCTTAATGGCTTTGTTATTGTTCGAGGTGGAGATTGTTTTCAAATAAAGCTTAAGCTCTTTTTTCAAGACACAAAAGGAAGGTCTTATCTTTAACACTTTACATTTATGGATGTAAAACTTGGTCAGCAATATGATAAGATTAGATATGAACAGTTCATTTTCCAAATCCCTCTGATAGTCTAGAAATCCAAACAGAACATTATGAAAATGTAATACAAAGGTCTCATGGATATGGTCCAATATAAATCTACAGACGCCTTGCCATAGTTTCCGAGTGTGTTCACAAGTCCAGAACAAGTGGTCGATAGTTTCTGGGTGCTCCTTGCAGAAAGTACAGGATACATCAAAGTCTTTAATGAATCTCCTCAGGAATGTTTTAACAGGATAATAGCGATGAAGGAGTTTGAATGTGACTTCTTTGACTTTGTTTGTAAGCAAGTATCTGTTAGGTAGAGTCCATACTTTTTCCCACGACACATATTGAACAAGTGAATTCCATTTAGGGAGAACATGTGGTACAGAAACACAATCAGCTAGAAAAAGGGAGCGAATCTGCTTATTTGGCCGTAATCTCGATAGAAAACAAAGTTTCCCTATAAATGTGTCACTTGGATCAGGCAAAGGGGTCATGTTAGATGGTGGGGTGGTATAACTTTTGAAAAGCATGATAACACCAGATGGAATAGCGTCGAAAACAATAGCAAATTCTTTAGGGGTTACAGGAGTTTTATAATGAGAAAGAAATTCTTGATAAGTAAATAAATTTCCTTCCTTGTTAAAGAGCTGATTGATCTTTATAATGCCATTCCTAAACCAATTGTCAAAGAATAAGGATTTCCTTTTGTAACAGACGTCTTTATTGTTCCATATAAGGTAATTATTAGGAGAAAAGTTATGCTTATAAATTAGAGACCAAGCCAATAACATTTGTTTATGAAAATTTGAGAGAGAGACAGGTATACGTTCAATATTGTAGTTGCACATTAAGAGAAATTTTAGTCCACCTAGCTTAGAGAAGATTTGATGGGAAATGATATTCCACATAGACATTGGGTCTTTTAAATAATGTTTAATCCAGTTAATTTTGAATGTGTTGTTTAAAATATTAAAATCAAAAAAATTGAGTCCACCATTTTTGTAATTATTCATTAGTACTGATTTTTTAATATAATGAGTTTTGTTCTTCCAAATAAATTTATAAAGCATCTGATCAATTTCTTTTGTAACTGTTTTATTAACGTCCAAAGAAATAGCAGCATATGCAAGTCTGGAGATTCCTTCCGCCTTAGCGAGTAGTATTCTGCCTTTTAATGAAAGGTCCCTTTGGAGCCACTGGTTAAATTTTTTTTTGGTTCTTTCTAATATTGGGGTAAAGTTCAGGTCACCTCTGTCTTTTTGGTTTTTTGTTACAACTATTCCTAGGTACGTCACTTCTTCTTTAACTGGAATATTGCAGATGGAGGGTAGCTCACAGTTCTTGACTGCCATTAGTTCACATTTATTTATATTTAGAGAAAGGCCCGAAGCTTTGGAAAAAACCTGAATAACATCAAGAGCGAGGGAGATTTGAGATGAGTCACGTAAGAAAAGGGTTGTGTCATCAGCCAGTTGACTAATAATGACTTCTCTATCTGCAATCGATATGCCTTTTAGGTTGCTCATTTTGATATGAGAGGCCAACAATTGAGTGGCCAGGATAAATAAATAAGGACTGATGGGACATCCCTGACGTATCCCACGGTTTAATTGAAACCTAGGAGATGTGCCATTCTTTAGTTTAATTGAACTGTTTCCCTTAGCGTATAAGGTTTTAATTGCTCTGCTAAAAAAATCCCCAAATCCAAATTTCTCTAGTGTTTTGAAGATAAAATTGTGTTCAATGGAGTCAAATGCCTTGTAAAAGTCCAAAAAGAGGATAAAACTTTCATTGGAAATTAGTTCAGGGTAATCTATTATGTCAAGTACGAGTCGAATGTTGTTAGAAATGTGCCTGTTCCTCAAAAACCCAGACTGCGTCTCATCTATAATATTATCTAACACGTTTTTTAGGCGCTTAGCAAATATAATAGCTAGAATTTTATAGTCGTTATTGAGGAGACTAATTGGCCGCCAATTGTCAATAAGTGAGATATCCTTCTTAGGTTTAGGGATCAGGGTTATGAGGCCCTGTGTTAGAGTTGGAGGGAGAAAACCTTTGGAAATACTCTCATTAAAGATCTCTAATAAAAATGGAGCTAGCTCTTCAGAGAAGGATACATAAAATTCAGACGTGAGTCCATCCACCCCAGGAGATTTGTTGTTTTTTAAACTTTTAATTGACTCTAGTATCTCTTTTAAGGTGATTGGACTATTGCAGAACATTTGATCCGCCGTACTAATTGGAGTAACATTCGTTAAAGAGTCCAAAAAACAGACAGCACTGTCATCACAATAACGAGAGCTATATAGCTCCTTATAAAAATTGGAACAGAAGTTTGCAATTCGATTAGCATCGTCACACATTACATTGTCTATTTTTAGTTGATGAATGGTATTATTTTTGGATTGGGACTTTTCTAGCCTAAAAAAGTATGCTGAATTCTGCTCTCCTTCCTCCAGCCATTGCTTCCTGGACCTTACAAAAGCCCCTTCAGCTCTAGATTGATAGAGTTTATCCAGTTTATTTTGAAATTCCAATAGAGTTTCTTGTTCTTCAGGGGATAACTTATCTGGACAAATAGATGACATCTGTGTCATTTTAGAAATCACCTTTTCTTCTTCATAACGTTTGCATTTTGCTAGCTCACTACAGTATTTTCTAAAAAATTTTCCAGCTTCAAACTTTAGAAGTTCCCATTTACTCCCGTATACTTTTTCAGCCTGGGCCTCATTCCAAAAAGCTTGAATTAGTTCCTTAACCTTGGTTTTTACTATGTCATGACACAAGATGGAGCTGTTGAGTTTCCAGTATGCATTATGTTGGCGTGTGGTGGAAGAAGGAAGTAAAGAAATGTTAATTTGGATGGCCTTGTGGTCAGTCAAAGGGGTCGAGAGGATGTCAACCTTGACATATTCCTCGAGATTATTCGAAACTAACCAAAAATCTATTCTTGATTGTCTGGTTCTTGTTTTATTAGCCCAGGTAAAAATTCTGTCATGTGGGTATTTTTTCCTCCAAATATCTATTAGATCAAATCTTTGCATTATTGATTTAAGGTATAAATTAGCGTTAGACAGAGGACCTGGTGGCCACCTATCCATGGTGTTGTCCAAAGTGACATTAAAATCACCTCCTATAACTAGATAAGCATGAGGGAATTTAGCCAACCAATAACAAATAGTCTTTTCTACAATTGTAAGCAAATTGTTATTATCACCTGTCGAGTTATATCCATAAATGTTAACTAGAATGAAGTTGTAATTACATATTTCCAGAATCTGACATATATAGTGACCATTATTGTCACAGTCAGTATGTATTATTTTACCAGTAAAAGTGTTTTTAAGAGTACAAACTCCAGCAGACCTTTGTGTAGCATGTGAGAAAAAGGTCTCATTTCCCCACTGAGATTTCCAAAAGCAGACATCATCATCACCTGTATGAGTTTCCTGAAAAAAACAAAAATCAGTTTTGCATTGTTTCCCAAACAAAAATAAAGCTTTTCGTTTCAAGTTATCCCTTAGACCCCTGGCGTTGAGAGAAACTATGGATAACGACAAACCTGTGATATTAAGATGAACTTTAACTTGCTGATCGCACAGTTCTTACCCTGCGAGCAATATGAAGGATTGATACGAGAACAGCATCAAAATAATGTATAAGAGCATGTGAATGCAACATAAATGCACGGCATATGAGCCAACAGTCACTTGCAGAACTTAAGGCAAATTGTCTGGGGGAACATGGAGCAAATGTGGAGAGTTGTGGTAGCCGAGCTCCTCAACTCAGGCTGGAGGGAAAATCTCTTTTTTCTCAATAAAAGCACGGCCTCCTACAAAGTATGCGATTTTCCCCGCCTTACGTGCTTCACTCACAAGCGGCCAGAGTTTCAGCCTTGCTTCCCTATCAGCTTTGCAGAGATCTTCTGCGAAGCGTAGACCGTTCCCTCGAAGGTAGGATGAGTTTTTCGCTGCAGCCCACACCGCAGCTCTTTGCATCCGTGAGGAGAACTGTATGATGATGCCTCTGGTGGCGCTCGGTTTCTTCACCCCGACCCGGTGGACTGTGTCGATGACATCTGGGAGTCGTTCAGCATCTGATGGCAGCAGCTCCTGGCAGATACGGGTCACCTCTTTCCGCACATCTTTGTCTTCCACCCTCTCAGACACTCCATGTAACTTTAGATTCCAGCGCCTCGAATATCTCTCCATTTCATTAATGCGCGATTCAAGCGTGAGAAGCTGCTTTTTTTCTTCCGTAACAATGATTTCGAGTTGAGAGACCTTACCCTTTACCTCAACCACTTGCTTGCAGAGGACATCCAAATCTCCCCTCAGGCTCGAGATTTGCGCTGTATTATCCTTAACCAACATCTTCAGTTCGTCCGATCTGGCGTTGATCAACGTTGATAAAGAGGTGACAATATCATTATTTGCCATTTCAGATTTACCTTTCTTACTGGGTGGTTTCTCTGGGGTAATGGGGAGAGGCGGAAATTCCCCTTCATTCATTACAGAAAATTTTGGGGTGACATCTACAGCAGAGTAGTCATGGCAGTTGTCGATAAGAGCGTTTGAAGCACCTGCAACCTCCTGTTCCTCCATCTTCTTCATCACACTTTTTCTCTTTCCGCTAGAGTTCGCCATAACTCGAAAAAGAAGCCTTAAGAGTTTGCTACTGTACTCAAATACGGTAAAGGGCTCAGTTTTGAGTCACAATAGGAAGTTTCAAGCCGTATTATAATTATATATTTGCAAAATAAAGTTCAGTTTGATAGCTGCTCTCGAAAGCACGTTCGTTCACAGCGCCATCTTGGCTCCTCCAGGGCTTTGGTTGGTCACCTGCCAGTCTAAGCGAGGAACGGTATCATAACTAAACCAGCGCATATCACCCACCCCCACCCCTGCGTGTGCAGCCTACATTAATAATCTTGTTGATTAGCCATAGGAATCTGTGCAAAGTCAGAGAGTTTGTAGCTACTGGAGCTAACCTGTGTTTTAACTGAAGTCATATTTTTTTTCACTTTAGAGTAATGCAACAGCATGGCTTCCGATAAAGAACCAAATAAACAAGGCAGAAGGACTCAGGTATATGTTAAATGTATACTGAAGCGTATGTTCAAATTGAACTGAAGTTTTCTTATGTTGGGCTATATAACACAGTTAATCCTAGGTGATAGTATTAGTCAGGTAAATATCAGTCTCTCCTCTTGGCCAAAGATTTGTCTTGCCAACAGCATACAAATTTGAGAAATAATTGTTTGAATTGAGCTTTTTATAATGTTTCTGAACACAGAAAGTCCAACATTAGAGGCTATATATATTGGGGCTATTACCTACGTATGTATAAGATGCAGTACTTAACCATTACAACTTCACTCAACAGCAAAGATCTCCCCAAGTTGCTGAGGCGGCCACAGAGGCTGTCCAGAATATTCTGTCAGTTTTGAACCAGTCATTGGGCAACAGCAGAACAGATAACAGTCAGGGACAGAACTCAAGGCAGCCGCAGAGCATGGATGAAGAAATGGCCAGGTCTAAGTTTAATCATGTTTAAAAATAAATATTCTTCTACCATGTTATGAGCAGTGCTTTATTTGAATCAACTTTATATATATATATATATATATATATATATATATATATATATATATATATATATATATATATATATATATATACTTTTTTTTTACTTATGTTTACATCAGTCAAAGTGACTGTTTATTATTTACAAATCCTGTCAATTACAGGTCTTTTCCTGGACTGTTTAGGCGGGGGACAAAGCGAAATTCACCATGCATGTACAGGCCAACAAAGATTGCCAAACACTGGAGCTCATTCAACTTTACAGTTTTTCTTCTGTGCAAAAATTGTGACACAACTCCTTCACCTGTTCAAGACTTGCAGCACATGCAGGCAGGTCTGGGAAAAAGAACTCTTTCAATGCCAAAAGACTTTACTCATGCAGAGGTACTTATTTTCATAAAAATGTAATTTTATTTGTGTTGACAATCACTATCAACAGGCAGCAATATGTATTAGTTGTAAATTAAGAAAAACATAAATTTGTGCTTGTCTTGTATTTTAGGTCTCCAGCTTGTTTCAGAGTACATATCCAAAGATGAAAACAATCAGTGGTGGATGGCTTTTGTACAAAGCAGCTGGTATTACAAATAACTCATCTGTATCTTGTGATTGAGCTGGTGTAGTTACTCACTGCTGAGCTCCTCTGACTTTTTCTAAATTTTGGCAGGAGGAAATGGACGGCGCCATTTATCTGTTGTTCCTCCAGAATCAGAGGGATACACTGGAAGTACAATAAGAAGTGCATCTGCAGGGGGGAAAACCATGCTGTACATTGTTCCTTTACAGGAAGAATTTGATCTGACACCTCTACCTCACGATGCACAAGAATTTGGCCTCATGCCAAAGGCTGAATGCAAGACTTGCCTTAAAATCATGCCTTTGCAGCTTCTTGCCCTACATGTAAAACAGTGCAGTGCCCCAGACACAGTTTCTGATTCAGAACTAGATTCGGAACCAGAGGTAAGTAAATGCAAATTATATGTGTAATTACTTTTAGGGATTTTAGATGTCAAGCAACCTTATAAATAATACACTTTGTTGGTCTACTTTAGGTTGTTGAGATACCCTGTCATTATGAAAAAGTAAGTCATTTTATAAATGTATATATATATATATATATATATATATATATATATATATATATATAAAATCTTTCAGACTGTCTTCTAATATTCTGTAATCGAATTTCTCTGTTTTAGCCAAAAGAAGGAACATGTCCTTTGTGCCAAGTGGTTTTCCCAACCAGGGATTTGGAGATACATGCTAGTGTCTGTGGCGACGTTGGAAGTCACTTGGACAGGTGAATGACTTTATGTGTACATGTGTTCCAACCAAACCAAGGTGCAAATTACAGCTGCAAAATGTACAGTTTACACTGAAGTGACAAAAACTGCAGTCCTCCTCTGATCCAATGTTAAAAATGCCAACTTCATATCATAAATAAACATGTTTACAGCCTGGTAAAAAATAACATTTTAGGATTATTAGGCATGAGGGAGGTGAATTTTTTTGTAAGTCATCCATTTTAATGTAATTAAAGCTTAAAATTAGGAGTAATTATTTGATTTACAGGTAGCAGAAGAGTCATCAGTGTTAACAGTTTCCCTCCTGCTTCTTCCAGGGAAGACCTCAGCCTTTGCCCCATATCGACAATGTTACAGAGAGTAGCCGAGTCTCCCAGTTACTGTTTTCTTGTTAGAAGTGCCCGCCAACCTCGGTTCTCTTTAGTTAACTTGTAGCTACATAAGCTAAAACTTTGTTGGGTGTCAATCTTCTGCCTCACAGCCTCACTCTCGGCTCCATTTATGTATTTTCTGTGAGAGAAAAGACGCGTGATATAGCCAAAATGGTGATAATGGGAGTCACCCACTGGGCTTCAGCTCTTCAGAAACCTCTACAGGTGGCAGTGTGTATTAGTCTGTCTTCTATATACAGTCTATGGTCCCAACCCTTAAAAGTGAGTTAGAAATGCATGCCCATTTATATTCTCCAGTACATTATATTTTCGGTTAAGTAAAACTAGGATTTGAGTAATTCATATTATTTCAATAACGTATCAGCTTTCTTAACTATGTTCTTCTATCTTTATTTTTCTTTTTACAGTCCTGCCTCCTATGACTCTGCCAGTCCAGTTGGGTTACAACTGCTTCAGAATGAAGAAATGTCCTGGTACATGATATTTTCACCCTACTTTTGATTATGGAAAAGAGATCTTACAGCTGCTACTGACAAAAATCTTTGTTGAAATATTTTTGTCAGTATATTGTACTTCTTTCCTTATGCTGGATTAGTTTATATCAACACATTGCAATTCCCCACAAGTTCTCTTTTTGAGATCATTGGCAGCAGGGTTAAAAAGGGTACAGTCTTACGAGGAGTTTGGCTGTGTTACTTTTTTCTGCCACTGCAGTATAATATGGTTTGTGTGCAAGAACCTCAAATGTATGTAATTGTTCTTTTGTTCATAAACTTGTCAGAATTATTGTTTAATTGTCCTGAAAAAATGTTCTTGTTGTCTTAACAGTGAAGAGGATGTGCTACGATGGCTGGCAGCTCAGGTTGATGCGAGCAAAGAGTTCTGCCTTTGTGTGTCCAGAACTAATCTCATAGAGCGTGGACTAATGCTTTGGCAGCGCCAGAAACACAGTTCACCACAAAATGTTTTGAAGGTAACTTTCATGGGAGAGGCAGGGGTTGACACAGGTGCTCTGCGGAAAGAATTTCTTACAGGTTAGTTAATATATTTGTCCATAGTCAACATGAAAGTAATTCATATGTTTTCAGCAACATCTTCACTGAGTGTTGACAGTGGCTTCCTAACCTATCTTTATTTAACCAATTTCCTAGAAATGATTGCTGGTATTGAAACCAGACTATTTGAAGGTGAAGATGGAAAAGGCAAAATGCCCAAATACTCCATCAATGACCTGGATAACGGGCTGTTCCGGTACAACTCAGTATCATACTATTACACAGTGCACCATCTACAGACATGCTTTTAAATCGCACTGTACTCAAACTAGTGCATTTCTTGTCTTTTCAGTGCTGCTGGTGAAATATTTGCTGTGAGCTTAGCTCAAGGTGGCCCAGCACCAAAGATCTTACAAGAATGGTGCTATGATTTCCTTTTAACTGGAAATCTGGAAACAGTTGATGTGAAGGATGTGCATGACCAAGAGTTGTCTTCATTAATCCAGATGGTGTGTTGCACAAGAAATGCATTTATTTTAGAAAATGATGCTGTAGGTAGATTAAAAGCTGGTTTTGGTTTATGTTGAACAATAATTAAGAAATCACTTGTATTACTATACTTACACTTTTAATACTATAACATTATACTTAAACTTTTTGTATCCCCTTTGAAATATTTTTTTCTTAGTATTTGTCCCATCTTTTCGTAAGGGCTGCCATTTGTATCACACCCAGGTGACTAATTCTATGATGTAATGATAATTATTTTTTTAAAGTCCAACATGAATGATTAGAGAAATATAAGTGCCAATCAGCGCAGTGGCCTAGTGGTATGAGTGTCTGCCCTGAGACTGGGAGATTGTGAGTTCAAATCCACAGTCAGGTCATACCAAAGACTCAAAATGGAACCCAATACGTCCCCGTTTGAAGCATTAAGGAGTTTGACTGGGTGGGTAAACAACTAAATAGTTCTAGAGCACGGTGCCTGTGTCTGCAGCTCACCGCTCTCAAAGGATGGTTACAATGCGGATATGTTATTTCACCACACAACAGTGTGTGTCACAACTGCTGGGACTTTACACTTAAAGGGGATAAAGTTGACAAGTCTGTTAATATATGCACAGTGCAAACAGATTAGATATAAAAAATTATGGAATTTGGTATAATTATGTATAATTCTGTATTTATTACTGCCCTTAACTCCAGGTTGAAGAAGTGGAGGATTTATCATCTTGCACCGAGCAAATCATCAACTGTGGTTACACGGGACCAATTAATAAGGACAACAAAGACAAAATAAAGAGGTATATTAATTCCTTGTACATCATAATTTAAAGGGCATATGTTGTGTTTCTTATCATGTGTGGAGGTTGATTTAAGGATATAGTTGTGGCATCAGCCGAGTTGCCACTACTATCCCAAATGGTACACTTTGGACACAAGTTCTCTGTACAGCAACATGCTGTGCTGAATAAGTATAATGAATTTTTTTCTGTATGTGAGAAACTTTATGGTCCCCCAAAATGAAAATGTTGATTATATTGTGACCTTTCCGCTCTAGCCATCTTCTAACCTCATATTTGCATCACTTATTTAACTAAAAGGGTTTTCTGCAGAAATAATTGAAATGGAATATACAGAGGATACATCTTTCAAAATTTTAGACACAATCATAACATGTAACATTTTTTGTGTGCGTGAAAGCTGAAGGTGTCTCAGGGTTTAGGACTTCACCTTGTGGCTGGTAGGTTGCCGGTTTGAACACAAGCGGTGTTAGTGTCAGCTGTTGTGACAAGACACTTCACTAATTTTGCCTGCTGGTGGCTGTCTGATGGACTGATGGTACCTGTGCTCGACAGCCTCTCTGTCAGTGTGCCCCAGGGCAGCTTTGGCTACAATGTAGCTCATCACCATCATTGTGTGAATGGATGAATGAGTGGTTAGGTAAAGGGTTCTGAAGTCCTCAGAGTCACAAAAGGGCTATTTAAATACACGCCATTTATCATATACGGATCTGTGTATGTGAATGTAAGTCATTATTTGCTTTTGTTATCTGTTACATTTAGGGCAATTATGCTGCACTCAGCTGCAAGACGAACTTTAATGCTTCGCCAGCTCCGTGAGGGATTACAGCTTTATGGCCTGATGGGAGTCATGGAAAAAAACAGACAACTTTGCCGGGACTTGTTTGTTGCTGGGAACAGCGATGAGGTAAACTAGAAAGATTTTTTGGACAAGAGAATTGTTAGCTTATCTGTAGCTCTGACAATGAGGAAATTACATTGTTGTAGTATTTTTTCTTCTAAATTACTACATCTCTTACGTCCCTCAGCCCGCTAGGAGAGATGTGGTGGAGGGAGTAAGGAAAAGGTGTGTGTGGTTAATAATAATTGAGGAAGGTGTCGCTCAAACAAAGGGCTTTATTAAACAAACAAAGGAGGACCGAAAGGAGCAATCTATAAAGGAAAATGGTTTAACATAAAGTACAGCCCCCCGCTGGGATACAAGCTGAAATAGTCTTAACCAAAACACAAAATGGGAGCAGTCCTGATTAATAGTCACTCTTTCTAAGTCGAAGTCCTATACCAATCTAAAGTCAGTTTGCCGGTTTGTCAAATACCATAAATCCTCTAATACAGGCCCGGGCCTGTATTTGACCCAAGCTCCAGGCCTTTATTGGAAGGAGGGCCAGTATTAGAGGCAGGCCTCTATTTCTATTTGAGCAAAATGAACTAATGGTTCGCTGGAGTTTTTGACAATTTAAATTGCGCCCACATTTTCAAAGTTAAACACATTTCTTTTAACAACGGTAGTTTCTGCTTCAGCCCTCTCCCCCCTCCCCCTGCTTCAGCCCTCTCCCCCCTCCCCCTGCTTCAGCCCTCTCCCCCCCTCCCCCTGCGCAGCGGCCGCAAACTCACTGATGCGCCTGCAGCCTCTCGGAGTTCCTGCTGCTCTAAACATTAAAATATTTATTTGATTTTCTGTTCCTCACTTCCGATTACCTTCAATGGTGTCTGTTTGTTGCAACACCAGGTACAAAAACTAACTTGTTTTTATTTGACTATTTTTCTGTCCTGTCTGTTTATTATCTTCCTGCATCTCCTCTCAATCCTAAAGAGAAACTGCTACCTGGGTTCATATATATTCACCTCATGAGTTACCTTTGAACTGCAGTTCTAAAAGATCTACCGACCGCAAAAACAGCGAAGTGCTCGCTGCTTGCCGGCCGCATCAGTGATCGGTGCGTCACCGGAGGACAAGGTGATGCGCTCCGCTCCACAGCAGCAAAACACATCAGGCGCAAATAAAAGACAGAAAACATTAAAGGAAATGAACCGACATGAACGATCGCGTGTCAGTACCTACGCTCTGGCACAGCGCATTGCCCCCCCGAGCGCAGGAGCTTGTCACCTGCTGATAGCAGGCTGCTGTCTTTTCCGAGGGCTGCATCTTGCCGGTCATTATCACGTGACAGCGACTAGTCGATGACAGGCATAAAAAGTCACTATAGTGAAGTCGACTAGTTCATACAACCCCTGTTACTGCTCCCCAGTGTTCTGCAGCATAATCAGCATGTTCTCTTTGACTTTGATATCAAATTTTCGCCTCCTCTTCGTCTCCGCACGGTTAAAGTTACCCTCGCCATCTATCACTGGCAAATCAAAAGTGAGACGATGACACAACCGCCCCTCGTACTTGCTTATTACCACATTCCACCCGGCCACAATAAAATACCGGCCATTATTCACCTCCGCCGACACCGGCCAAAATATGATACCCGGCAGTTAATTGAATACAGGCCAATATTAGAGGATTTACGGTACGAGGTAATCTCTGAAGATGAGTCTATATACGAAGCTAACAAGTGCTAAGCACGCGAGGAGAAGAGAACAGACTGAACACCTCCGTGTCCAATCTATCCTGAACCTTCTCCCCGAATCTGTGTCAGTGACAGCCTTTTACCAGCAGTGGTGTGATTGGAATCACAGCTCAATAATACCTAGCTGCGGATGTAGCCCTGGCCAAACACCCCCCACCCCCCGACAAAACACGCCCCCCTGTTGAGCTATCCCCGAGCTCAATAACGGCGGCCCTCCCAGCGAACAACACAGTTGAAAGAAAATAAATAAAGAAATAGTAATAATGTAATTAAACAGACAGGACTCCAGGTTTAAATATGAATGTATGGATTTTTATGGCCATCCCCAGTGAGATTATTTTTGTTTCTTGCATACACACTTTATGGCCATCCCCAGTGAGATTATAAAACACAGATACCACCAACAAATAATCAGTTGCCAGACAATAGGCACAACATACCTATGCTTACTGAAGTTAGCAGGTGAGTTATGTATGTGCAAGTGTTTATTTTAAATGCAATAAAATTAAAAATTATATTAAAAAATTTGCGTCCATGACGTCTTCCCCCACTGCCAATAATGCTTAATTTTATATAAAAGTGTTTCAGAAAAAAATTACGATTGCGCTATCTATCAAACTATGTCTTAAACGTTCAAATTTCTAGTACAAAATCTTCGCAAGTTGTAAAAATATAAATCTATCTTTACCTGAACCGTCATTTCCATCTCTTGCAACACGCATGCGAGTTCTCGTCTTCGTACATGCACGCGTGTTTTGTACATAGGGGCGTGTTTGGACGGGGGGCGTGTTTGGCCGGGGCTACATCCACACACAGCTGGGCAACTGGAGGATGGAGCCAGGTGAGGATGTTGCTGCTGAGGCCATCTTGTGGCTGAAAAGGGGAAGCGCATGTAACATAATAAAATTTTGTGGAGGATGATGGCTGTTCGCAGAATTGATTAGTGTTACTTTTCTGTCTTGCAATGGAAGCCTCCTACTAAACACACTGTTCTCTCTTCATTAAGTCACATAGAAATTGTGAAGATTTCACTTTTACTTTCAGAACTTGTTCATCATTGTTTTGTGGATAGGAATCTTGATATATATAAACAGTTCAATAGTAGATATATGTTAACTGAGAATTGTTTGGTAAAAGTCTCAAAATATAATCTTTGTCAAAGAAATTTAACATTTTTTGCTTTTCTTTAGGTTGACTCGTTTTACATTGTGTCACATCTGTGCCCAAAGATGAGTGAAAAAGGAACACAAAGACATGCAACAGAGATACAAATCCTTAATAATTTCCAAGACTTCCTGCAGGAGCTTGAAGGCAAGTTATAGATTAATTTTAAGTAGTATTAAGCTTTCGCCCTGTAAGACCCAACCCATCCCAAAAATACAGAAAATTCAAATTTTTGGGAACTGAGATGTTTATTAGACTTTCTAAGAAAATGCACAAATGTTTGTTTCCTAGATCATGTTTTTCATGATGTATTTTTTGTATCGCATTTCATACATAAGGTGATTTGGTCTACTTTTAGTTAACAACAGTATTAATTTCTTATAACAAATTATTGTCCATAAGACATTTAAATTTTTTTTCCTCTTCTTTGATAGTTGACAGTAATAATTTTCCAAACCTTTTTAGTTCACGTCTTTGGTGTGTTCTTGCTGTGTTTAGTTTCAAATTCCATCTTTCAGTTCTTTTTAAAACACAGAAAAAGTTTATTTACCTGCAACATTTCGTTTGCGGCTGCAAACATCATCAGGCTGACGCTGATGGTGGCGTCAGCCTGATGATGCCCGCTCTCCCCTCTCCGATGATGCAGTCCCATGCACGATCCGAGTAAATCCATCGTCTCTGTTCATGGTCCCACATCCACGTCTCCTTATCTCAATTGCTTCTTTTATCCATCTTTTGTATTTTTGTTGTTTCAGTGTTTGATCCTTGTGTTGTCCCAGTCCATTATATGGTTTTCTCTTGTGCACTGATCTGTTACGGCTGACTTCTTTATTGTACTTTCTGCTTCATGTTTTGCTGCTCTTGTGTGTTTTCGACTTGCCTCTTTCTCGCACTCCTTTCTGTGTTCTATTGTTCGTGTGTTGAGTCGGCGTCCGGTTTCTCCTATGTGTGTTTTATTGCAGAGTTTGCATGGGATTTCGTAAATAAACTACCAATATATTTCGAAGCTTTTCTTGTTACTCATTTCAATTTATGTAAAATAACACAGAATTTGAATAGTAAATGTGAAGATCTTGCTGTTCAGGAGTTAATTTCTTCATTTTAATGTTTCCCCAGATGGTTCTGCAGAAGATGGACTGTCAGTTCCAGACGTGATGCAGTGGTTAACTGGCCAGGCGCACCGGCATTTGCTACTCTCAGAGAGAGAAACTTTTAAGATACATGTCAATTTTGACCACACATGCATGGAGCGAATGCCACAGCACACCACCTGCTACCCAGTTGTTAGTGCGTGCACACAAACAATAACATTTCCAAGTGTGCATTTCGTCAATAAGAATGACTTTAACGAAAAAATGGAAACGGCAGTCAAGAGCGGTGCAGGCTTCCACTTGATCTAACATAAGATTCCATTACTACTGTTGTTACTCTACTTATGTAGGTCTGTTTTCTCATCCGTTAATGTAAACCCATCCACCGAAACATTTTATTTTAGATTAACTGTGAAAAGAATACCTTCGTTATGTTTACAATGTTGCAGTTTCAAAGTTGAAATAAGAAATAAAGGTTTACATTTTTCAATGGTATTTTCACATTTAATGCGCAGTCATTATGTTTGAACAGCTCAGTTAATTAAAAACACAAAATACAAGCCAACAACAATTAATCCAATATTCTAACAGCATTTTAGTGGAATCAAACATTATGAAGGACTTATTATCTATTTACTGAACGCAGAATTTGCACCAGTTGAAGTGTCTGGACATAAAGCTCTTGGTCACTCAGAGGAGATGTGGTTGGATTTACTAATCCCTGAAGGACAGCAAGGTTCTCTGTTGAGAGAGGAGAAGGGATCTCTGACACCACAACCCCTCCATCCTCTAGGTCAGCATAAAAGCTGTAATCCTGGAAAAGATGCTCCACTGCCTGAAAGACAGAAGTTGGCTTTGATAAACATCCAAGCCTTATATTGACAACCCAAAACTGCAGGTTTCATTTTTCCTACTCCCCTTTTTATCCAGAATTATTTTAAGCCAACAGTGGCTTATCTGTGTTTTTTTGATGGACTAAATGTTATTAGAATTATGCTAACGATGAAAACAACAGTGCTTCATAAAGAAAGTGAAGTGCACCTCTACATTTGGCTCCTCAACAGGCGTTTGGAGCATCCCAATGTGCCACAGCTGCTCTGGAGAAAGGTTGCCTTCAGTTTTGATAGGGTGGAAGTTCCAGCTGTGCAGGAAGCACTTTAAGTCGGATTTCAGCCGTGGCAGAAACACATAATGGACACAAAAAAGGTGTATCTCGTCTGATAGATCAATCAGTTGCCCTTCTTCCATTGTGTGCAGTTCATTGTAGTATTTGCAGGTGACAGCTGACCACACATCACGCCACAGCCTCTCGATCCTGGAAATATGAATAAACAAAGATTTGAGGAAATAAATCGAATAAAAAACAAATACATATTCTCCCTACAGTGGTTTAAGTAGTGTTATTTCACTTTCTGCTCACTCAATTCATTGTCCTTTACCTTTGATTGTGGACACTTTTGCCAGCAATGAAGCTGCCACGCCCAAAGCCTCGAACAGAAAACATGCATCGGGCAATGTCCACATTTTCCACCCCCTGATCGCCTCGAACTCTGAAAGTATTTGTTTTTTTATGTATTGTGTTATCATTTGACTACATATGACGAAAGTCGATATGTGGAACAGTCTACAGTACACTGAAAGAATATAGAACATTTAACAGTAATATGACAATATGCATTGTACCTCGAGGGCCATCCATGTTTTCCAACACCATCCAAGAAGAAAGAAAAAGCAGTTGAGGCTTTGTTGTCTGCGGCAGCATTGAGGTACATGATCTGTAAAAAGGATGGTAGAGGCAGAATAGTTTATTTTAATTCAATAGCTGTTTAAATTATAATTCAACAGAACTCATACTTTTCTTGAGAAGCCGTCAATCCCACCAAATATCACAATGTTATATCTGCAAACACAGGACAAATAAAAATTAAATCTGTCTTGTTGTTAGGTTTGAAAATGCTGAATCACTTGGATCAAGAATCTATTGTTTTTTTTCTACGTTAAGAGAGAAAAGTCCTGAAGAAAATAGACAATGAAACACTCACCTGATTAATTTGTGGTTGGTATCAATGTGAACCAAGGACAATGGCGCAGGAACACAGTAACTTCTACGAGCTACAAATCCAAGTTGTATCATTCTAGCCAAAATTCCAGCTCCATCTACCCGGTGCATCACAGCCTGAACCCTATGCCACTGCACCCGGTGTCCTCTGGCTAACAGCTCACCTTTCATCAGCCTAAACCCAGCATGGGGCATTCTACTTTTTATGGACCTCACAAGAACATCAAGTTCATCGTCAGATATTTTGGAGTAGCACCCACGAACAGACAGGCCATGCTCTTTCATCCGCCTGTTAAGTGTTCTTCTTGAAACACCATACAATTGGGCCAAATGTTCTAAAGGAAGTGCAGTGGAAAGTAGATGTTTAAGATCATCAGACTGTATTTCAAGACGAGGGCGTCCCAGATTTCCCACAGCAACAGAAACAATGTCCAATGCATTAGTTGAGTCTCCTCCCAATGATTGAACAGGCAAGCTGAGAATGTTGATCAAGTCCCAGAGACCGTTCAAAAGTTCTGTTGGGATATTGAGATGATGAGATGCCATTGACGCCAAAGAATACTCTTGCTGAGTAACATCCAAAAGGTAATCCAAATCGAGAGACTCGTTTCTGAGAACCAAGCTAAATCTTGTCCGAATCCTCTGGAGGAGTTCCTCTCGCACTTGCTCCTGCAGGCACAAACATGGCAAAGTAAACAAAATAAACACTAATACACTGCTTAATGATCCTGGGAAAACAATTCCCAATATGTTTCAGATGTTTCCATATTCAACACACAACACAAATTAATGGTCAACTATCAAGTTTCAGCAAAGTCAATAAATGAGCTGGCGTGCGATTTTGCTAAACAAATAAGCTAAAAAGTTGTAAATGTAGTTTAAGTGTCTTCCCATAATATCTTATGTTGATTTTGTCTGAGTTATTCCATTAAAAATCTGCAGTTTGACACAAAATTATGCAACTTGAAAATCCATTCACCACCACCCCTGCCACAGTTCAGAAAGTTTGATTTAGATTCTGATAAAAAAATAAAAATTAACTCTTACCTGTGATTGCATGTCAGCAGAGTCCTGCTAACACATATAACACCCTCTGTTGGCAGAGTTAAAACACAGGTTAGCTCCAGTAGCTACAAACTCTCTGACTTTGCACAGATTTCTATGGCTAATCAACAAGATTATTAATGTAGGCTGCACACGCAGGGGTGGGGGTGGGTGATATGCGCTGGTTTAGTTATGATACCGTTCCTCGCTTAGACTGGCAGGTGACCAACCAAAGCCCTGCTAAAGCATTCGGGTACTGGCTAGCACTTTGGCTAGGTAGCTATCGATCTAACGTCTGGTTAATGCCTGACTTGGCTTTACTTAAGGGTTTTAACTCAGGGTTTCCAAGAAAATATCAAATAAACGATCAATACTCACTTTGATCCACAGTACACAGGGGAAATATGAACGTGGGTGGCGCTAAGACCCGTGAGGAACAAGTAAAATCGCGGGACAGCGTCACTTCTGGTTCCGGGTCACAAACTGTCATTCAGGATCACACTGTCCAATGGGAGAGCACTTCTCTTATGTCCCACCCACCCGAGAGGGTTGGGCCAGAATTGCAATCAAAACCTCACGCAGCGCAAAGGAGAAAGCCGAGAAGTGAAACTGCAAATCTGGTAGCGAGAGCAAAAATCTGAGCAGTGAGAATGAAACAAAGGAAAATGAAAAGAAAAATACGTGGAGTCAAACATAATAAATACAAATACTTTTATTACTCATTTTAATAAGTTGATTCGTATAGTAAGTTTCACTTTTGAAACGATTTTTTTTTTTTGCAATTAATTTTTTTTCACGCACATTCTTAATTTTTGTTTGACCTTCTAAGAGTTTTTCTTGAAATTATTGGCCCAAATCTAGTCCCATAACTCCCAGTCACTCGGAACTTTTAATCCCAAATCTGATCATTAAAAAAGAAGCAAAAAGAATTTTTGGAGCAAAAAAAGTCTGAATAAAAGATGAATAAGGCAACAAGAGGGCTGGTCTGGATCTAGTTTAAAGCTTTTGACAGTTTGAGAGGAGGCCACTTGTTTTTCACCCGTCTGACTGTAACCATCGCCCTTTTATCACATGACGAGTCTTAAAGCTTCGGCTTACTGTACATTCTTCTGCTGTGACCTGTCAGCTGATTTTTAAAATAGCTGCCATCCACTGAACCTTCTGCATTTGCTCTTTCACGAGTGCTTTTTAAAAAAACACAAAACTCTAAACCCTCATTAGTCATCCGTGCCTTCACTCAGGTCTGAAGGTGCCCTCTGACCTCAGTGTTGCAGGACCTTGTTTGATTCTGTGGAATAAGAAAACTCCTGCAAACTTTATAGTTTTGGATGTTTATTCTTACAACTCATCAGCAATAATTTAGAACAGCATACGTGTAAAGCGCCAACGAAATGTGCAACAGTTGCTCAGTTTAATCTTTAAAAAAGAGAAAAGAAATCCATAGACGTCTACAACATTGACAAGGACGTGTTTACTTAATCGCAAAAACTATGTACACACACACATGCCACTTCTTCTAAGTGATGTGAGGCAAAAAACAGATGATTCAAACTGCAAAAGCTTCATAATGACTGCAAAATACAATGACTCTGTGCTTAATCATACAGGTGAAATGTAAAAAAAGGATTACATTTGGAGGGATCTGTTAAAAAAGAGGCCAAGTTCTTCACATCTTCACACTTTAACATAATAATCATCATTCTTTTAAAATTTGTCAATTTTGGGAGATTGAGTTTGATATGATTAAGTGTTTTATGAAATTTGTAAGACTTGTGGATCACTCTGATGCATGAAATCCTCCCAAATCCACTCAGGTGTTGGTGGCCGGAGTTTTCTATCGAGACGCCTCAACATAAGAGAAATTTCTAAAAGAACAGTGATTGACTGGGGCGAGAAAGCAGAAAAAAAGTGCACTTAACGTCTCATCCTACATTGAAACAGCTGGGAAAATACAGGTACATTCAATAAAGATCATTAAGGTGCTATCCTACAATGTTTCCTGGAGGTTTGCAGGCGGTTCCTGCACCTCCAGGAGGAAATGCTTCAGTTTGGGAACTCCTACTTCTTCCAGTTAGCTCATTTTAATGCTTTTATCGACTTTTATCAAGATGAACCGAAGGAAATTAGTTGTCATACTCTTTTCTTTTTTCGTTTAAATGTATAATTGCTCAATAAGATGGGTTTATTCAGATGTTGGGAGCATTCTGGGTTTTTGTCCTCAGGAGGGGCAGAAATGTGTCTTCCAACCAGCCTGTGCAAAGCTGAAGTGAGGTAATGAGGGTTCAGGAGCACTTCTCATTTAGAGCACATTTACACAGTAATGAGTCCGATTCCTCAATATTTACAGTCAGTCTGCCAGCTGACAGGCAGGGGTCAGCCGGATCACTAGTCGGAGTCCTGCTGAGTTACTCAGAGCTTTTGGCACCATTGCTGCCATGTCAAAATATTTTTTATCAAAGAGGATAAAAAACAGCAACAACACAGCTGCGGGGTGTCAATCATTGTCGATCATTCAGATTGTTTAAATGAAAATAAGTGCAAAAGGCACGCGCAGTCACAAACTGTCCTGCAGTTTCACCAAAAGTTTGTACATGAGAGACTTTTCAGTGAAACTCCGTTTTTAAAAACTAACTCGGTTTAAAAAATGTAAATACATCAACTCGTCACCACACTGCAGAGGTATACAGACGTTTTAGCTCGTCTGACAAGCTGTCGGGTCTGGACTGTTCTTGCGCTCCGGGGACGCGTCGCCCACGTCACTGTCTCCGTCGTCACTCGCGGGGATTTCCTCGCCCTCTTCAGGTGAGCCTGTCTCAGCCTCGCGTGATCCGCTGTGGTTTAAAGGGAGGGAGTCCTTGGTCTGAGGCGAGACTCCGAAGTGCGCGGTCAGACCGGGGAAGGCGGCCGCAGCCGCTGCGGCCGCAGCCGCTGACGCGTGTGCGGGATACAGCCAAGGGAACGGGGACGCGAGCGCAGCCGCCGCCGGGTACATGTACTTCTCAATGTTGTTCTTATCGATGAAAGGCATGTAAGGCGCCGCGGCTGATGGGTTGATGAAGTAGAAAGGCATGCAGATCGGTGTCTGCTGACCCACAGTGCTTATTCCCATCAGAGAGTTCATGAATGCCACATCTGGCCTGATTGAGTCCGCGCCTCCGATCACGTTCCCAGACCAGCACATCTTTGTCTTTTTGGCAGCTCGGTCATCTCCAAACTCTTGCTTGATCTTCACAGCTCTCTGCGCCTTGCCGTTGCGCTCGCATTCCTTTTCCTTCCCGTCACTCTTTTCGGCTTCTCCGCCGTATCCACTGTCCGTGTCCGTGTCGTTCTCGTTAAGCTCTCCGCCTTGGGTCCTCTGGATGACCGGGACGCAGTTGGCTTGGCTGTCAGACCTCTGCGCGTCCTGTGCGTCCCCGGCGGGCAGCTGGTGCTGGAGCGGCGGCGCGTCGGGCTGAAACTGCGCCAGCACCTTGTGAAGGTGGTTGATGAGCTGCGCGCACCGCTGCTCTCTGGCAGTCCAATTCTCAAACTGACTCAGGAACTGCAGAACCTCCTTGGCACAGGTCTGGAACCCGGAATGGAATGCGTCCAGATCAGCATGCACAGGGGATTTCATGGAGCGGTCTCCTGGATCACAAAGTTCAAAAGGCTGTTAAGTTATGGACAGTTTTTGTTCAGATCACGTCACCTGAATGCACCAGTTTCCTTAAAACCATCTTTAAACGTGTTACATCTTACCATTCTGTAGAGCGATGATCTTTTGGTGTTGCTGCTCGGTGACATTAGTCAGCGCGTTCAAATGTTTCAAAGTTAACTCCAGGACAACCGCCTTCTCCAGATGACCGAGCGTCTGTGGGTATAAAAGGTCAAGTTTACACCGTCACTGCTGTTTCCAGCCGTTCTCTGAGCGCGTAAAAACTTTTTGTATTCTAAAATGATCTCACCGAAAGCTTCAGATGTTCAGGTAACAGATCCTTCAGCTGACCAATACACTCGTTGATTCTGTCTCTCCTCTTCTTCTCGATCAGCCGGTGCGGTAATTTGTACGCGTCCTGTTGGCACACAAACACAAGCGATCACCGTGGAGCTCTGAAGTTAAAAGTTCTTGTCTTACGGGAATTTAAAATCAGGTTAAAGGCGGCGCGCACCTTCCCTCCATCCTCCCGCTTTATGCCTCTTTTAGATTTGCACATGTACAGTGGAGGGAAATCCATCCTGACGAAACCAAGAGGGAAAAATGTCTGATTATCAACCAGATCGTCGCGATGCTTTATTAGTTTGATAAAAGCGCGTCTTACCCTAATAAATCCGCGTGCTCCATGAACTGCCTGTCCTGTAAGTGCGGTATTCTTTCATCCATCACTTTTCCACTAATGGCGATCCGGTTCTGAGCTTCACTAGGAAGGGAGGTGCTCGGGACTCCCACACGGAGGGACAGCTGAAGGAAAGGATGAGCAGAGTGTGTGTCCTCCAGCGGAGCTGCGATTCAGAATGATGGCTGTGGACGCCTGAGCTGCCACTTTGCAAAAGCCGTCGGCTGTGTTGTTAGAGCGCACGCGCGCCTCTGGTCGAGAACAGCTTCCGTCTCACGTGTAGGCTGCACCAGCACAAAGTCCAGTAATTAGACCTTGTGCGTGTGTGCGCGCGCGCGCGCTGTTCCTATAGAGATCCCGCCAGAGCCGTTATGACCTGACTGCTGAAGCGTGGGTCTTGCGCAAGAATGTTGCAGGTGAGATTACGCACGAATGGAGGCAGACGGTCTCCAAAAACTTCACGGCTCATGGTTCCAGTTTAGGATTTGATGACTATACACGAACTGATGTTAATAAACAGGATCCTTAAAAAAAACAGCATCTATTTTTATGTCATTTTATAATTAACCAAAACTAAAACTCCGGCAGCATAATTCAGCAAATGAATCCATTCAAACAACGGGTATCTTTCTGCGCGTGCACGCCGACCGTTACTGTAACCTGCTGCGTTCCCAGTAACCATGGCACCGGCCCAGCTGTGTGACCAAACACGTGCGTCGCTCCTTGTTATCTTAACATGAGCGACACCTATCTAAAAATGTGCCTAGATCCACCCAAAATAGCCCCCCCCCCCCCCCCCCCACACACACACACACACACACACACCACCACCACCACCACCATCCCATTAAAACTAGTTTAAAGGGGAGGGAATAAACCACAGGAGTTAAATTGTTGACTTCAAGGACACCTGCTCCCCTTTGACACTACTCCACAATCTTGTGTCAATGTCCTCACATGCCTTCTGATCACATTACTCCTTCCTGTTAGTCATGTGACGCTTCCTGGCCGGCAGCATATGGTTCTCTTGTGTAACAGCCTGACAAACAGTGATCAGTCACTCCTCACTGACAGAGTGTGACCTCCTGTCTCCTAGCTGTTCATTAACCTGCTGCTGTCCCTCTGTACTTTCCCTTTTCTTGTCCTCCACAGGGAGACAAGGCATCGTATGTTGGAATCCCCCTTTGTGTCTCACTGGTCCCTCCTCTTCCTCCTCTCCTCATGTAGCTTGCTCTATATGTGGCACCGCCAGAGCTGCTGTTGGAATCCAGTCCAAATGTTTTCCATATTAGTTCAGAGTCTTCTCTGTTTTCAAATAGCAGCTGAGCTGGGCTTGGCGAGAAGCAGACAGGGAGGGGAGAGGAAGGGGTGTGAGGCAGCCAGCAGACAGACTCGCCCACCCCAAACAGTGTTAGAGAAAAAGTGTTGAAGACAAACAGGCTGAAGGAGGAAGAATGGGACAAGAGCGGAAAGGTTCCTCGGACAAGAAGGAGGGCAAGAAGAACAGGAGAGATGAGAGTCCAGCTCCAGAGGATGGCCATAAGTGCAGAGCGTGTCGGTTCCCCCTGCTCGTCGCTCTGCTGCAGCTCCTGTTGGGGGTGGCTGTCACAGCCGTGGCCTTCCTCATATTGGCCATCAGCCCCTCGCTTCTGGCCCGGGAGACGCCTCACTGGGCTGGGATCATCGTAAGCTCCGTCCTTCTGCTCCGTCCACAGACACTTGTTTGCATGAACCATGAGTCTCTGGCATTATGTCTTCCTGCATGACCACCGGCTCTGGCACTCGCAGTGATCAAGCCAACCTCCAACTGAATGCTCACACCTAAACTCCTCAGCACGAGTCCGCCTGCACGTTCTGCTGTTTGTGTTGCAACGATCCAGAACATTCAGTCACAGCTTCAGAAGCCCAACATGCCTGGGACCACCCCAACCTTTCATACAAATGCTTCATACTTTTCCTCTAAAAGACGTAAACTAGTGTTTGGAATGGAAACAGCTCCAATTAGAGTATAAATATGGAATGTTGATAATGCATATTCAATTCAATTCAATTCAAATTCAAAGATACTTTATTAATGCCAGAGGGAAATTAGAGATATGTCCTATTTCGAATATTTAAAGCACAATTGATGACCTGTGGTGTCTGGAAAGTAGAACGCAACATTAAAAACCATAAATCTTTTAGTTTAAATGTTAAAAAAATCAGGAAAAGCGTTGAACTTTTACTGAGATCACCTTTCACAAGAACTAAAAAAAAGTTTTATTCATCAATCTACTTCAGAACATGACCTCGGGTCATGAAAACATGTTTTTCCTGCTTGGACCCATCCTAGCCTATCATAGTTGTCATCAGCTCTGGAAAACATCCCTGGACACCAACATCCCGAGTCAGATCCTCACGAGATTCAGCCGAGTGAAAAACATTGAGGTCATCGAGAACTTTCCAGAGAATCCTGAGTGCTTAAGAACCTGGGAAAAACATTCAAATAGGATGCCTCACGTTAGTCACAAGACTGAGATAGAATGTGTGTGTGTGTGTGTGTGTGTGTGTGTGTGTGTGTGTGTGTGTGTGTGTGTGTGTGTGTGTGTGTGTGTGTGTGTGTGTGTGTGTGTGTGTGTGTGTGTGTGTGTGTGTGTGTGTGTGTGTGTGTGTGTGTGAGAGAGAGAGAGAGAGAGAGAGAGAGAGAAAGTTGTGTAATCACATTACATTTTATAGCTGAGACTTGTTCTACTGAGTTTAATATAAAATAAATACAGTAAAAGTATTTACCCCCACAGATTTCTTGTTATTTTGTCACATATTTCAAATCAGTAAAGAAATTTCAGTATCAGGTAAAAATAACCTGATCAAAGACAAACATTCAGTTTCCAGATGATGGGAATTGGGTCCATGTGTGAAAAATCAATCAAATGTTTGTGATAGCTGGTAACGAGTCCCTAACAACCAAGTAATGTGGTTAGTAACACTTCATTCATGACTTAATAGTCTTATGAGCCATTCCCATCTGTACCGGGTCGGCCCGGGCCGGGTAGCCCCAGTCGGCCCCAGCCTGGCCCGGTTGATTCCACACATCCTTGTCTTAAGCCCATGTGGGTTGATTCTACCCACCAATCAGAGGCTTGCTCTAATGGAAGGTGTGAATTTGCTGTCAGCAGTGGGGGTGTTGGCCCTGGTCGGCCTGAAGCAGAGCCCCTCGAGAAGAGGGCTGAGAATGAGCCTTGGTTGGCCCGGAAAAATACCAGGCCACCCAGATATGTAAACAACCTATGCTACCCGGCTCGGGCCGACCCGGTACAGATGGGAATGGCCCATTAGTTTCATCATAATTAATTCAGTTAGAAAAATGCATTTTTATTTACTCAGATTATTGTTGCCTGATTATGAAACTGCTAATCGGAAAAGTTTTTAAAAACTGCTACAATCGGGAAATCTAAACGAGAAATTGTTGCTGTAACTTTTTGCGAAAGTGAAATAAAATTTTCTATGTGTTGCAGCTTTGTTTCGTTTCCATCGTGGGTTTCATCCTCTACTGTATCAACTACCAGCCTGATGAGAGGACTTCTTCTCAGTTCATTGTCAAGGTGAGTTTGTACATAATCTGATGGATTTTCAGGGAAATACCTAGGATTAGGATTTTCTATAAACCAATCGAAGGCTGAGAAAGAAATCGCAGGACAAAAGTGTCATCAGGTGAGATTTTTTTTCCTAAAGAGAAGATTGTTTTACATGCTCTGCAAAAATTAAATAACTTTACAGCATTCCTGTACAAAAGCGCTCTGCGGGGATTCCTATGGAGTTGAAGAGCTCTTTCGTTGATTGTGTGGCTTAGTTAGCCTCACAATCCATGCAGCTGGAATTCCAAGGCAATTAAAATCAGTGCAGTATTGTCAGTAAAGTTGCAGCATCGCATTTTTCTTGCCGTGTGTGTGTGTGTGTCCTATACACACCATGCTTGAATGAACATGTAAGTATTCTAAAATGTGAAGATGTTTAAAGTACTTCAGCTGCATTACAGCTAATTTATAAATCTATTCTTACAGAAATTACAAAATTTATCTTCATTTGCATTTTCCATCTGCAGCTTTTGCAAAGCAGATTAGCAATAATAAAACAACAATGATAAGAAGATTAGCTCATTCAGACAAACAAAAGCATTTGTGGTTTTATTCGATCGCATAAAACGCTTCAAATAAAACATGATGTAATTATTTGAAAGTCAGAACAATTCTATTTAGTCCTTCACACAACAACGTCTTAATCTGTTTGTTTTTTCTAATGACGAAATTAGGAGTTTAACAGGCAGAATTGAAGAACAGTTTTTATTCTCTGGAAGATAAAAAAACAAATTTAAAATTTTACATCAAAACATAAAGTTCTACCAAGAATTGGTTCTGGTAATTTGTTTGATGTAGCAAAAAAACTGCAAAATTTTGCAAGAAATGCTCCCCGTAGATTAAAAAAATGAAGCTGTTGCTCAGAAAGACTTTATGAGTGGTTACTATGGTGATCCTAATGAGACACCGTGAGCATCTCCAACATATCTTTAAATCTCCGTTCTGCAAATTTTACATCCAAACGGAGGAATTTCCTCACAGTTTAGAACATTAAACAGTAAACCAACTTTTCCATCTACTTTGAGGCTTTAATCATTTCCTTTAAAACCGGTTTTAGGTGTACATCGCCCCGTAGCCATACCTTCGTCCTCACAGCTGCATGCTGCTAAATGAACACAGACACAGCTGCAAATCAAACCCAACTCATCACGTAACTCAGCCAGAACACCCTGGAGAACGAGCACTCCTGTTACATAACCGATGGATTAAGATGAAGGTTTAGCACGTTTGAGATTGCATAAACAACACAAAGCCTCTGTCACATTCATAGATGTATTTTTAGACAGCCCCTGCTCTTCAGCACCTCGATGTGCATTAAAGGTGGCCGGTGGCTGTGTCTCTTCTGTGCTGAAAGCTGGTTTCCCACTCTGAGGGTCAGACTTGCTCTGTGGCATTGTGGGTAATCTCTTTGAACTGAATTTGCAACAGGCACTGAGCCAGATTTTCTGTATCTAAACCACAGTTTTGGCACGCTGGGATAATCATGAGACTACAGAATCGAGCCAGAATCTAATAAAAACACTGAAGAATTTAGATGTTTTGCTCCAGATCAAAGCCTTCTGAACTGAACTTTATGATGTCACAGTGTTTCTTTGCTCCTCTCCAGCTCCTGTACTTCATCCTGTGCACCACTGGACTGGTGATCTCAGTGCTGGTGGTGGCGTTTGCTGGGTACCATCACTCACAGACCAGTAACTTCATCTGCAAGCAGGCTGGAGATGACTGCGAGTGCGTCCTGGACGAAAACGACCCAATAGCTCGTACCTTCATCTACGAGGAGGTCAGTGACTGTGAGGCAATCACCGGGACGCTTGCTTTGTATTTCCTGCTCCAGATCATGCTTAACCTGGCGCAGGCGTTAGTCTGTGCTGTGGGAGCCTTCATCATGTGGAAGCATCGCTATCAGGTCTTCTTCTCTGGGCTTCAGATTGGCTCTCCCTCCTCTCAGCAGTGGCAAAAGGTTTAACAATGCAACGGTCAATCAGATGGACGTCTATCTCTTTTGCCTTTTAATAAAATCTGTGCCTTAGTGTGATGGTCACAGACGGGTGACAAGTTAATGGAGATGTTTAAGACTTATTAACGCAAGAAAATGGATTCTTGACTTGATTTAACAGCAGCTCATTCTCCTAAAATGTATCAGTTTGTTTATTTCTGATGAGTTTGGCGTTAGCGCTCAAAAGGGCTGAATATTGTTTATAGATTTGACATCATGTTCGTCAGACCAGTCAGCGACCCTTCATGCTGAAACACAATCAACCTAGAAGAGAACACTCCCATGCAGGAATAAACAGTACATCACAGCATGAAGAATGATTTTATACAAAACAAACGTTTTTGGCGGTTCTATTCTCAACATTTTCAGTGCCTTCCAGAATAAGTCATTTAAGGGATATGTCACTTTAAGGGCCGTGATATTCTTGCTGTTTAATGACGCAAACGCACATGGCTGCAACGGGTTACTTGTATTGATTTGAAGCGTTGTTTGTGCGCGTTCTCTGAAATTAACGGAACACTGCAATATATGAGTAACCAGTAGGTGGAGTTAACAAAATAACATGGTGACTCCGTCTCTGGTTTAGAGGTAGTCTAGTGCCCCTAGTGGAACACTCTGGTACTACATGCAGTGCCGTGCAGCAGCAAGTGAACAAAGACACAGCCTGCTTACTGCACCAACGTTTAAACAACAAATATATCACGGCCCTAAGTAATACAAGCTCCCGCTAGCTACGCCCACCCATGACCTGCTCAGGTTGCTATGAGGTGAGAAGCTCTGGTATCCAGGAGGAGTTCAGAGTAGAGCCGCTGCTTCTCTGGCAGTAACTCTCTAGTTCTAGTGTAATGTTCCCATTTGTGATGTCACAAATGAGGACTTTTTTAAATGACCTGTTTTAGACACATAATTCCTAAAACCAAGCACTTACAGAAAAAGGATGGAAGGGTTTCATCATGGTAGGAGTTCATAGAGGCAGTAGACAACTACATGGCAGCACTGAAGGATGCAAAAGGTGAGTTTTGCATAAAATGCCCCTTTTAATTATTCAACCGTCTGCTCATTTACATGTTGAGGTTCTTGTATTACAATGGCTTTTTGCACATATTTTGTATCCAACTCTGTCAAAAGTGACTAGATCTAGATTTAAACATCTACTCATCAGCCACTTTATTAGGCAGCTGTTACAGCCTGGTACCAGAAACCAGTAAAATTATTTAAATCCTTTCTTCTCTTTTGTGATCTTCAGTTTGAACACCAGGAAGTGGTCTTAACTGTCTAAACGTTTAAAATATCCAGCCATATGATTGGCTGATTAGCTTTTCTTAATGAGTAATTGTACAAGTACACTTAATAATGTGGCAGGCGTATTTCCTTTTAGAAAAAGAAAACTTTCTTTTTACTGTTTTTTTTTCATGTTCATTGCAACTCTTGTAAGTTGTAAAATTTAACTTTACCTTTCTAGAATCTGTTTTTGTTTTAGTGTGATTTCCTGATCTAGTTGCTTCCTTTGGCACAACAACTGATGCAAGCTTATTTTATTGTGAATATTTGCTTTCATATGGCATGAATCACCATTTTCAAGGTTGCAAGTGTCAAATGAAATGTATTAAATTACACTTCAAGATTTCAAACAATAAAAAGTTGCATTTTTAACTGAAGAGACACCCTCCATCTTTTCTCATATCTTTCTGTGATAATTAAAGAGACAATGTGTAGTTTTTTCCCATTGATCTCTAGAAATATCCATCAAAATGTTGTTGAAAACAAATTCAGTGATGCACAATTGTTGAAAAATGTTGGCGGCTTCATAACATTTAACTATAAAAATCAGATTTAAAATACATGGGAGCAGGTCTACGGCCCAATCCCAATTCTCGCACTTCCACACTTGCGCCCTTCAATTGCGCGAACCTGACCAGCAGTGCGAGTGTGTAGGGTGTCTCGATTTTCAAGTGCGGAAGTTGACCACCTCTCTTTTGCACCCTTGATCTGCACTTACAAGTGTATTACCCACAATCCATTGCTGTGAGATAAAAGGCTCATGTTCCTTTTCTGAAAAAATGTATTTTCTAATGAAATTAGTTAGTTTTAGGATGGTTTGTTGATACACTAAATGTTTTAGACAAAGCAGCAATGAATTTAAATTTATTTCAAATAATTGTTTGGCTGTTTGAAAGTTATTAATAAAGGTTTTTGAAAAAGTATCGCAGTGACCAGCATCCCAGCATGCATTGCGATAGATGATGCAATACTCCCTCTCTCAATTCAGCAATTATTTGCACACTTGTGCACTACGCACTCGAAGCCTTACTGCGCACTTTCTCCAAGTGTACTTTGCTGATGACTGCAGAGCGAGTATTGTGATTGGGCCTAAGTCTCTGGGCGACGCCATATTAGATGCCATGTTTCCTCCTATGGGAGCCCATGAGGACAAAATGCATTTATAACAAACGGTTGCAAAACTTGTTCCATTCATAAATGTTGTTTTACACATTTACCTCTTTGCTTGTTGCCAGTGATGAAAGGGTGTCTGATGTGCTTATTGTTTTGCTGGATGTTGCGCTCCCAGGGATTTTTGACCCTAATGGGCATCTGTTGGTGAGATCTTACTCCAACACAAAAATACAGCTTGCTTGCAATGATTTAGGTATGTACTGGCCTCCATTGCCAGGGAAAATTCACATAATCACTTTAAAACGCCAACGGAAAGGCACTTTTGAGTCACAAACCGTTCAATGCCGTGAACCCCCCCCCCCCCCCCCCCCACACACACACACACACACACACACACACACCCCGACACTGCTAACACAGTCTGGGTGGACTCTGCTCCGTGAGACTGGAACCAGACTGAAACTGAGCTCTAACTTGTGAAGGTGGATGCCAAAACCAGTCGTCAGCATGACTCAATCTGTCTGTGGGAGGCAAACTACTGGAGGGAGGGAGCTGTGGGGGGGAGAAGGGGGACTCAGACATGCAGCTGGAGTGACGTGATCGAATCTGACAGGAAATTTTCTTTAAAGGGGGAAAAACACCTTTAGCTTTATTTTGCTCTGTGCTTCTTTTCACGGGCCACCAGCCATCTGAAGTTTTCGCCAGCAAATCAGATAAAACCAGTGAAATGCTGCTTAGAATTTATAATTGGTTTCTGATGAATAAAAACTTTTAAAGAATAAAAACATCCTTTAGTGTGGTGTTCCACATACATATCCGTATTTAAGATGGCCTCGCCCAGGTTTTGGTTTCCCTTTTTCTTGTTTGTTCAACATTGCAAACATATTCAGTCTTTTGAATCAATGTCAACTTCGCAAAGAGCCAGTTTTTATCTGGATCCTTGGGCGCTTTGTGACAAGTGGTTTGGCATAATTACACAATTTTTTTTCGCATTTTCTGTTAAATCCCTGAAAATTCCCAAAGAAAGCACAGCTTGACACGTGTAAAAGTAGCTGCACTCACATCTAAGGATAATTCTACCTGAAATATGAAAGGGCATCATTAAATTTGACAGAAGGCTACAGATAAACGTGAACCCAGGATGAAAATGTTATCGCACCAGAACTTTTTCTCTGAAACTCGACCTCAGAAACACAATCTCATCCCAGTTATTGTAAATCAAAGATGTATTTAGAAGAAACAGAAACCGTGTCACACAGGGCAGGGATCACTGCAGGTTCTGGTTCATATGCTGGTTTTGAGTGATGATGTCACTCACCACGTGACCACAGAAGCTCACAGCCAGATGCAGGAAGTCACACGCCAGTCATCATGAGGGTATGTTTATTTATAAAAATGACAGTGCACCCTGCTTCTCTTTGGCTTTGATGTGGGTGATCTCAGATTAACACTAAATAAAACATTAGTCTATCATTAAAGGTAAAAGCAGGATTCATTTCATTTACTACAGTTGAAATGCTCGACAGTCAAACGGCCTTGTGCTTGTTGACCCTCTCTGGTTGTTTTCTCACTCGCTCTAAACACACAAAGGCTAAGTGTGTGACTTTTATTGATAATCCAAACGTGTTAAAGGTTGTGGTCATGGAGTAAACGAGTTGTAGTGAACCGCGATGAGTTCACCATCATTTCTCTCATTGGTAAAAATCTAAAGTTCAGCCAGGTGGTTTTGGGGAGCCGCGCAGGCTGACAGTTGCATCACAATATAGCAGTGAGACTTTTGCCAGACAGTAATGATGGTCCTGATATTATCTGCTCCCTCTCTTCCTCGTCTGAGAGCAACACATTCTAGTAATTCTGCACTTTAGCCCTCGTGTCTGCGCAGTGACAGCTGCTCACCATTATGGCACTGCGTGAACGAATTTTAATGGCTGTCACCGGCAGCAGGAGTAAATGCAGGACTGCCAGCGTAAACAAAATACTAAAGCCAAGACGGATGGTCCTCTCTGTAGAGGGTAAATGGCAGGATGGTATAAAACAACAGTTTGTTTTCTGTGATTTATTTATCACCTCAAACATGCAGATGATCAGCCAGACTCAGCTTGAGTTTTGTGCAAAATCGTTTTAACTCAACGTCCTTCAGCACGAGGCAACTTAGGAGTTTTTAAAATGTTCAGCATTCACTTAATCAATCTTGCATTTAAAATCTTGCACCTTTGCAAAACATATTGTCAATCTTCTATTTTCTATATGACATGACTTAAATATTGCTTGGACAAAAACTATTTTATAAAATGCATCTTTCAAAATAAACTGTCTTTTATGTATATCTTAGATCTTCTTGAAGACTGTTGCTGGTTTAACGTGCAGGAAACAACAGAGAACGTCTCGACTAGAAGAAGCTAACTGTTAGCATTAGCAACTTCACATGGCTTGTGTTATTGATGGAGATAAAGCACCCAAGTTGCAAGTCAATGGAAGAATTGTGTTGCTGTTATCCAATCAGAGGCAAGATGTTCAAATGGGAGGAAAAAAACCTCCAAAACCTGCCGTCTGAAGCTCAGCTGTGATGTGGCTCACTACTAGTTCCTGGAAATGGTGCACCGGAATATTGATATTGAGCTAAAACTAGATATAATTGTAGCTCAGAGTGTGTTATAACATGTTGTTTTAAAACTCTGGTGCTCACATGGTGCTCTCATAAGTATGGACTTGGGCACGTTCAACACATATCTTAAGGCTGTGGTTGGCACTAAATGCACTGTGATTTATTATCGTGCGATTGTTCAGTAAACCAATGTTGATTTTATATTTCAAGCTGACGCAGTGATAGCTTGCTCCTGTTGTATTGTTGTGTGTCCCTTTTCTGCAGGTCTAGAAGCAGACTCTTGTTCATCATTGTTTATTTTTGTGGAACACCCCACCACCCCCACCCCTTCCACAGTTTGTCTCTTCCTTTCTCTTTCACCTCTGTCTCCGTGTCTGGTTGAAATTACAAAGCCTTCAAAAAGTATCAGGCATGACATTAAAAGCAGATGCTCCACCTGAGAGTAAAATCTGTAAGGCTTGCCACCAGCTTTCAGACATTAATTCTGTTTGCTTCACAGCCAGACAGGACACGGAAAACAAACAAACAAAAAAAAAAAAAACCTCTGGAATTAAAGGTTACGGGTGATTGGCATTCATTCAACAGAAACTAGGTCTTTAATTTATTTTTTTTGTTTTCAATTAACTTGTTTTTAAATTGTGTCAGATTGCAGCTATGCCATGTGACTAAACAGGAGCTGTGAAAAAGTGCAGATTTTATGAACATTTGCCTAACAGCTTTTTGCACTGCCTGAACATGATTCTATGTAAATGAAGACAATTTTAGTTTTCTGATTATTCAACACATTTGGGAGTGAATTAACAAATCGGGTACGTAGGAGGAAGCTTGTAAACTCATCCTTCCCCAAAAAACCAGGAAGACAACTACTCAAAAGGTACAAACTCAAACAACTCTTGTTATACATTTATTACGACTTCCCTTTTGTGCAAGATTTAATCTCAAAGTCTAACTTAAAAATCTGATGCAGTTCAAGAGAAACGTCCATAACAGAAAAACAACGTCGATGTGAGCAGAGTAAAAATTACAGATAGCTGACATCTTCACTGAGATAACAAAAGAAAACTAAATCATTTACCAATATAAGATTCAGATTTAAGAAATTTCAAGTACGTTTTACACAGGTTATTATTATTCACATTTCTATCATTTAAATAGTCTAGAAATCTGTAAAGGCAACTGAAGAGGTGCACAGAATGTATATGTGAACACCGTAAAAAGCATCAAAGTTTCATATCCCAAACAAGTCAACACGTCCAGTTATAGTTTCAGCTTTTTCCCTTTTAAACAAAAGTGCACAGACAGCCATTACTGTGTTTAAATGTTAACGAGCAAGGCAGCATGATTTTCTTTTTAAAACACAGAAATAATACTCCAGCTAGGAACTGAAAAGGTTCTCATAAATACAAACAAAAGTCTAAAAAGTAAAGGCATTTCGGACCCCAGCGTGTCTGATCGTCTCCTGCAGGTTGATGATTGAACTTTGCAATTCTGTAATCTGCACCGTGACATAGCCCACATAACCCTAATGCTTCCCTGTGCCCGTCTGGCACATTAATATCACAATGTGCATAACATTCACCATGCAGCTAAGTGGGCTCACAAGGCACACTTAGTAACCAGTGAGTGTGTTATAGAAAAGGCAATAAGTCAAAAATATACATCAGCACTTTCATATCAGTAAATACCAATCTGTTTGTTCTTAAGGCTAAAATCATGGCGTTTTTTATGATTGGTTTTAAAGATGAACTGAAGTCAAGCAGCCTTCAGTGTGCAGTGATGAGATGGTTGGGTTGAGAAGAACCCAGAAATCCAATTCTTTGCTTGTTCTTCCTCTGTTCCGTCATCTGTGGAAGACAGAATAGATTCAGGATTTATCATAATGCAAGGAAATATCATTAATGGTATGAAAATAATTGGAGCTTAGAGCTTCTAAGTATTGCAATGTAAATTGTTTAAAGAAACAGCAAATTAAGCCAAAACTAGGGGAAACAAAAGCTTAAGAATGGTTTTAAAATCTTGTAAAAAGTAGTTCAATTAAATGCAAAAAGGGAAAAATTCATGTGCCAGAAGTTTTATGTACATGTCAGCCAGCCTACATTTAAAAAGTAGTAGCACAGCTGTGGTGTCTTTGGGTGGCTTGGACAGAAACTGTTCTTGAATTTGTTCTGATCAGACTTCTGTAGGACTTTACAGATCCCAGAGCAGGTTAGGGATACAGATTTAAAAAAAACTGTTGGCTGGTATCTCCCTGATTTGTCATTTTGTCCACAATGAGCTCCTTGGACTTGCCGACATCAGATTGTGCAGTTCCATGGCATTAGGGCTTTTACTTCTTCTCTGTAGGACTCAACATCATTTGATACGCAACTAATAACAGCAGTGTCATCTGTAAAACGGATTACAACATTTGTTTCATGTGTGGCTGTACAGATGTACATTAGGGTGAACAGCAGGAGGCTCAACACACATCCCTGAGGGACACCAGTGTGGAGTTTCAAAGGACAAGGTGGCATTTCTAAACCCAACCACCTGTGGAATTAAGTCTGTATGGAATAAAGCTGTTGAAAGTGAAGATTAAGCTACTGAACAACAAACAGTAACGTATTTCCCCATGCATGTGGGAAAAGGTAGTGTGAAGCCAAAAATGCAGTGACAGGTAGAAAGAAAGCAATCAAGCGGGAGTGCCTTTTAATATTGCACGAAACGAACACATTATATGCAAAACTTTGATTGCACTGCAACTCTTCCAGTGGGCACTTCATCATGTAAAATACAATCTTCACACGGGCTCACTTGTAATTATAGCATTTTAGAGGAGGATTTGTCCATCTGACGTGAAGAAGGGGACACATGTAACTCTGACTTTAAGAACTAATCTGGTTGAGAAATATAACAGATGTAATAAAAATCTCCTGAATTTGTTGAATGCTGTATAAAAATTGTTTGCATTACTTTTCTCTGCAGATACATGATTAAAAACACGTCAACAGTTTCACACAAGTTTCTTTTCAATGCGTTGCTGTTCTAACTCAACAGTAGAATATTTCTTGGAAACATTTAAGGAGGAGAGTCATGCGGAGATGACTGTGCACAGAACTGTAACCACAATGATTCAAATTAATCTGCTTACAGTGAATTTGATTTAGTGTATATTTGATTCCATTTATTGTCATGTACTTTAGTTATAATGTTAAATTGTTGATCTGTGCACGCTCGTAACCTTGGAATATGCTGAAACTTGACAAGTGCAGATTAAACGGAACTTCAGTGAAGTGTGAAACTACAATACAGTTCTTATTCACTTGGATTAGCTGTGAATGCATGACGTGTTGGCATCCAAGGTGGATGATATGAGTGCTGGAACTGCAGGAATATTTCCCTCCACACATTTTAGATGCCTGGCCTTCCCTCTGAGCTGCAGAGCTGCCATTAGGCCTCACACGTTTCTGCATAAACAAGCTCAGCTCTCCTGGCGAGTGTATAACATTTCTGTTTACCATGAAGACAGAATCACAGCCTTCTAACAACATGATTTATAATAGCATGACTTCTTATTACTCATAAACCTCGATAAGAATAAGACTCCTTGCACTCCTCAAAGCAGATCTAAGGATAATGCGTTGGTGTCTTTGCTCAAGGGCACTTCTACAGCACACAAACTTGGTTGTTAGAAGGGGTTATATGAGGGGTCCCAGTCAGCAGGGAGCTGTTACCAGCTCTACAGCTTGCCGAGGTCAGCAGAGGATGTTGTTTTGTTTATTGGAGTGTGATCCTCCCTCAGCAGGAGCTGTTTTTGCACATCTGGCAGAAGGGGAACAAGGACAGGCCTGTGACTGGAATCACATGCGGAGGAGGCAGGTGATGGGAGTGATCAGTCACACAGCAGCGGCGCAGCTAGTGATCCAAACAGCCAGAGGCTCACTGGCAGCTCTCAGCTGAGATCGCTGCTTATGTGAGAGTCACCTGTCGAGCTGCATTCAGCAGCATCCAGGCTCTAATTGTGCCCGTCTACATTACTCAGCTCAGAACAGAGATTTATTGCAAATTGGCACTGGCGAAACGGTTTCATTCATGTGACCTGTATGTAAAAAGAGCCTCGCAGTCAGAGAGCACACGGAGTTCACCGTGCATGCGGTGAAGTCAACAGAACAAGCTTTTTACTTTAGACCATTAAAGTACCACAGCTTTGTACCTGCTCTTTGAGCTCATTCAGTTGGTCTGAGAGCTGAGCTACCACAGCAGCGGTGTTATCCAGTTTCTCCTGCAGGGATCGCATCTCATTCTGCTCGCCATCTCCCTCGCTGCTCACCAGAGACATGGCTCTCATACGAGGGAACCACTCCAAGTTCTTCATCTGTTGGAGGCAAGGACAGACACGAGAGAGCTGGTTAGAAAGGTGAACAGAGTAAAAAGGTCAAACAAGGCCGAAGAAACAGACCACAACAACAAAAATGACGCCAACACATTTAAATAGACGCATGGGAGGCGTTGCAGAGCTAAAACCATCCAGCGAGAGAAGAGTAAACAGAGAGGTGGTGGTAAGTGGAGACCGGCGCGAAGGTTTAACATTAATCATCTCATCAGTATGGAAGCTGGTCTCCGTTTTGCGCTCGGCGGTGTGGGATATTTTACGCAGCTCTGCCTTCTCCTGGTTACTGCACATCACAGTAATACACTAAATGAACAGTAACTGGCATTTCAATTCTCACCCACTCCATAAACACACCGTTGATGTGGGGATGAGTCATTGTCATCCATCAGCAGCACGACTGGAGGTATAGTGTTACTTATAGTTTGCATGCGCACATGCAAAATGTTTACTTAAGTATCCATTCTCCCTAAAGAGCAGCAAACAGAACTAAATATCTACAGCGAATCTTTAGAGGATGCTGGGCATTATAAACCTATTGAATTATGTAACGGACTTACGCGTGTCTGTGTTTGCACATGTGTGGGTGTGTGCAACGTCGGCGAGCATCTGCATGGAGATGTACCTAACGGACTGAGTGAAAATGTGTTTTTTACCAACACGTAAACTCCTGTGCAAAGCAAGATAGGATTCACAGAGACAGGCTGCCATCAGCTGGAGTTATGTAATGTTCCTTTGTCACTTCTTCTGATGAAAATCATTAACAAGGTGCTGATGGCATGATTTGACCGGCACCACATTGGGTCCACCGGGTGGGAGCAGCGAGAGAGGTGCGCTTCCACCTACTCTTATATAAGAATAGACTGCAGTGATGGGAAGAATGATGAGTGTAAGAGACGGCGAGGATGAAAGGTAAGAAGAGTTTAGTCTGAGGGTGGAAGGAGACGTGGCGCTGGCGATTTGTTTTTACGCCTTTGATTAACGACTTTAACGCTCTTTGTTGAGTGAGACAACAATTGCTCGAGCCTTGATGGGCTCGCTTACACTCATTTATCAAGAGGACCAAAACACTAATTAAAACTAATCGGAATAATTTGATTAAAAGCAAAAAAAGAAAATGAAAAAAACTAATTAGATTTGTGTATTGGTTAATCAAACATGTATTGTTTTGCAGTTGTACTAGGTAATACAAACTAGAGATGCTTGGAAGATTGCAAGATTGGATTAGCAAGTGATCGGCAAACCTGAAACCATTTCTTTGGTTTTTAGTTTCTGGACGTATCCTCGTCAACCACCATTTTAATGCCAACGTCAGTGTTTTAAAATATTTTAGGGTTAGGGTTATAATCAATATTTCTGATATAGTCACTGAGTTTTCATGCAGGCTGAATGCTAGGATTTCAAAAGCCCAACAGCGTGACATCACACTGTCATTTAATATTCATGGAATCGCCCATCTTGACTCGCAACAGGGAAGACTGTTGTTGGTTTAGCGTCCAGGAAACAGCAGAATATCTCAACTAGCAGAAGCTAACTGTTAGCGTTAGCAACTCTACCACACAGCAGAAGTCCTTCAGGCTTGTGTTATTTGTGGAGACAAAACAAAGACTTTGCAAAGCAAACAGAGTTGGTGATGGAGGCGCGTTTCTGTTAGCCAGTCAGAGGCAAGATGTCCAACTTTCAGGAAATAAGACTCCAAATCCTGCCGTCTGAAGCTCAACTCTGATCTGGCTAACTTTTAGTTCCTGGAACAGGCTCACCAGAAGGTTCTTTCCCCAGAGTACAACTTAAAAGGCATTCATTCCTAGTAGGGACCACTGCAAATGCATCAAAAATATGTTGACCGTTAAAGACTGATATTCTTTCTCTGGTCCACAAATACACTATAGCTAAGCTCTAGTTCACACCGACTACAACAGATCTCCCATCAGAACTTAAATAAAGGATTCTGTTTACTACATTTCATTGTGCCTTTGACACAGTAGATCACAATGTTCTTGTAGAAAGGCTTGAACATGCTGTGGGGATCAAAGGAACAGTGCTAGGCTGGTTTAAATCCTACCTGTCTGATAGATTTCATTTTGTAAGTGTACATGGCAAATCTTCTTCATACTCCAGGGTTACTTGTGGAGTACCACAGGGTTCAGTGCTTGGACCAATTCTTTTTACTATATATATGCTCCCAATCGGTGAAATCATTAGACAGCATGGGATAAACTTTCACTGTTATGCTGACGATACTCAGTTATATCTATCCATTAACACTGAGGAACCTAATCGGTTAGGTAGATTACAGGCTTGTCTTGAGGACATAAAAAATTGGATGACTCTAAACTTTTTGCTTTTAAATCAAGACAAGACGGAAGTTATCATCTTTGGACCAGAAATACAGAAAAGGAAATTGCTTAGTCAATCACCTGACCTGAATGGCATTATATTTATCTCTGAGAACAAAGTAAGGAACCTTGGTGTTATCTTTGACCAGGACATGTCATTCAAATCCCAGGTTAAACAGGTTTGTAGGATTTCCTTTTTCCACCTTCGGAATATTGCTAAGATTAGAAGCATCCTTTCCAGGAATGATGCTGAAAAACTAGTTCATGCATTTATTACATCAAGACTGGATTACTGTAATTCATTACTCTCAGGAAGTCCACAGAATGTAGTTAAAAGTCTTTAGCTTGTCCAAAATGCTGCAGCTAGAGTTCTGATGAGAATTAAAAAGAGAGATCATATCTCTCCTGTCTTAGCTTCTCTACATTGGCTACCTGTTAAATTCAGAATAGATTTTAAGATCCTTTGTCTCACATATAAAGCTCTTAATAATCAAGCTCCATCATACATCAGTGATCTGATTGTTCCGTATGTTCCTAACCGAGCACTTCGCTCTCAGACTACAGGTTTACTGGTGGTTCCCAGAATATCTAAAATTAGGATGGGAGGCAGATCTTTTAGTTATCAGGCTCCTCTCCTGTGGAACCAGCTCCCAGCCTTAGTCCGTGAGGCAGACACCTTGTCTACTTTTAAGACTAGGCTTAAAACATTTTTATTTGATAGGGCCTATGGTTGAAATTTGATGTTAGCCTAGATCTGGACAAGTGGGGGAGTAGACGGAGGTGGAGTGTACAGTCTGTAAAGACTGCTCTCCCTTGCCCTGCCTCCAACATGCCTCCATCTAAAAAGGCTATGTTATCCAGAGTTATCTCTGTAGTTATGCTGCTATAGGCTTAGACTGCTGGAGGATACGCTGACCACTTTTCACACTCTACTACTTTCTTCTACAATCTGCTCTTTAACTGTATTATTTTCTGCAATTTCAGCTGTTAACTTTATTTTCTCTCAAAGTGTTTTTCTCCCCAGAAGAAGCTACAATGATGTTCTGCTGAGCTGTGGTAGCCTCATGGAGGGGGCTATCGTCTAGCACACTGCTGCTAACCACTTAAACATTCTCCCTCTCCTGATAATAACTTTTTGCTTTCCTTGACGTTGAATGTGCTACTACTAGTTTACCCGTTTAACTATAGATTCACTAGGACAAATACAATAAAGTTTATCTCTCGCCAAATTTACTAAGAAATCACAATGTAACCATAGACATATTGCTTGGTGTGCGCGTGTGTGTGTGTGTGTGCGCGCGTGCGTGCGTGCGTGCGTGTGTCTGCTCTGTCTTCTCGATCCCCAGTGAGTCGTGGAGGATGGCTGCTTATACGGAGCCAGTATCCTCTGGAGGTTTCTTCCTGTTAAAAGGGAGTTTTTCTCTCCACTGTCGCTATATGCTTGCTTAGTATGAGGATTGCTGTAAAGTCACTGACACTAGTCAGTGACTTGATGCAATTAGCTGGGTTTCTTATATAGGAAACATTTTTTCTGATTGGCTTAATGAACTGACCTGAATTGGAATGTTTATTATGTGAAGTGCCTTGAGATGACTCTTGTCGTGATTTGGCGCTATATAAATAAAATTGAATTGAATTGGGATAAATTGGAATCAGCTGTAATTTCTATCAGGAGTTCTAAAAATTTTAAACTGTCATTGTCTCCTAAAACCAAAATTGGTGCATCTCTAATAAAAGCATGTCTTGTGCATCAATGGCTTTCAGATATGCCAGCTTTCAACTGTTCCTAGCCTAATTTTTGAGTTGTTTTTAAATTCAGTGACTCAACAGTCTGAATTGAGTCTTTATATTAGTTATTGCCTGGAAAGGTTGGGCTAATTGGGCCCTCTGGCACTGAGGTGATGATAAAAAAAGAATACTTTCCTTTCTTTCAATTTCAAAAGGACAATGATGGCTCTGTGAGCTCAAACACATTTCTGGAGCTGAGGGCTATTTGATGCTTGATTTCAGTTATCCATAACTGATTGATTATAATCTCACAGACCTCAATAACATTTTTTGCATGAAGACAACCATGCCGGTGGAGGAATCACAGTTCAAAAGAAGGAACAAGGTTAAACAATCTGGATGAGTCCACTAATCTGGTGCTGCTAATGAAAGTCTAACTGAGTGCTCTACTCCATCTGAATCAGACAAGCTCTCTTCACTTTACACAAGAGTAGAAATGTATGTTCACTTTACTGCTCCTCACTCCCAACTTCATATTCTAACCTTCTTTAAAAGCAGACACTTCTTTTAGTCGCTTACGCGAGCAAGACGTGCTGCTGCAGTAACCCCTTCTTTCCACCGGAGCCGTCAGCAGCACGTTACTGCAGCAGCACGTCTTGCTCGCGTAAGCTGCTGCTTGGCCCTTCCCACGAGACGCGAAGCAGCAGGGGAGCAGCTGACACCGACCGAGCAAGAAGTCACACGAGTGACTTCGTCAGTAAACACAACAACAAGCAGGAGAAAACTACAACATGGCTCCAAAAGGTTTGTGTTTTATGTTCTGTCCGTTTTATAATCGCCAATACGGACCTGAAAAACAAAGGAGACCGCTAGCTAGGTGATAACTTCTCACGGGGCTGCACATTTAGTAACTTTTTTTTA